AGATCGGATTTCCTACATTTTTCAACTGATTTCAACAAAACTTCACTTTTTTTGGCAGGTAGTGCTTCTTATTGTCTTGCACACTTTTTTCTTTATTTTTACATTCAGAATGCTTTAAAAATTCCATTTACAAGACAATTGTTTATAATAAAAGTCTATTCAATCGGTAGAGACTCATAACGATTGAAAACAATGTTTTTGATTGAGTTTGGGTTTGACCAACTCGTAAAAAAAAACAAAAAAAAACTAATTAAGACATGCGTGTCCGTCAACCTTAAACAATAATCTTGTCAATTTTATTTTTCAGTCTTTATGATGGTTGATACTTGATCTATCTCTTACTGTTACATCCCCGGGCAACGCCTGGCTCTCCTGCTAGTATATATATATATATATAAACACACACTCACGACTGAAGAACACATAAATATTTATTTTGAGAAGTTTTTTTTTTTTTTTTTTTTTTTTACCCGTCCGTGTTTTTACTGACGGTTCAGGGTCCTGTATGTCTTCTTTATATACCGTGTACCCCCAGGAGGCAAGCACTCATGGGTCTCCAAACTTCCTATTCTTTGGAGCTCTTAATAAATTTTCTATTTCTGTTATTTTTTCCTAAACCCTGTTCCGCCATCCATTTAATCATGCTCACTAAGTATGTTATACTTTGTTTTCTTCTATCGCTTTCGTCTTCAATCTGTCCTGTGAGTATCAGATTTTCCAAGCCCTCTTTCCTCATGTTCTCACAGAATTCTCTCTTCCCGATGTTAAGTATGATTTTCCTTTTTAGTTTGCATTTTCTCTAAAGATTCGTCGTTGCTCGCACGTTCAATACATGGTATACTCAGCATCCTTCTGTATAACCATATTTCTGTTGCTTGAAGTCGCTTCATCTTTGAGGAGATTGTCCAGTATTTACCATTTTATTCATCTTTTCATCTTCAAGGAACAAACCGTTTCCAACTGGGGCAAGTTTTTCCTTTCTCCGACGTGTCTTATTTTGGTAATTGTCGTGTTTTTGCTTTTTGGCACCTGTTACGACATCCTGTTTTATATTTGAATTTTTATCATCAGATATTCGGATAGCTAATTCTATGTTGGTGGATTTCCGTTTCTTCTTATCAAGATATTAAAATATTTGTTCTTATGTTAAATGATCTTTTAAAGAGAATTACATTTCGACTTCCTTACTAGATATGGAGAACATAGATACTTATCTGCACGCCCACTACAAGGGGCATGGCACAAGGCTGACTTTCAGGTGGGAGTTCCCTGCGTAGACGATACTTCTTTTATGCGCCGTCTTCTTTCAGGAAGTGAGCGATCATGGCTCTCCACAACTGCCTACGTTTCATAGATCTAAGCCAACCAGTCGATGTTCTAACAAACACAAACTATTTAAGTATATTACTGTTTTCCTCTAACTCTTTTGATTTCAATATGCCCTGTGAGTATCAAATTAACCAAGCTTTCTTTCCTCATTATGTGTACCAGAATTTTCAACTGTCTCTTTCTGATTCTAAGCCTAAGTGTCCTTTTTAGTTTCATTTTTCTTAAAACTTCTACGTTGATTGTATGTTCCGTCCATGGTATTCTTGTATGCCTTTCTTAGAATCACATCTCAGTTGACTCTAGTTTCCTTATATGTGAGGAGATAGTCCAGCATTCAGTACCATATAGGAGGATTGATATTAAAAGGCCTTTGCCTTTTGGGAATATATCAAGTTCACATATCCAAACTTCTTTCTTTCTAGTCGATCTAGCCCCTCCTACCTCTGTCCCTTGCAGCTCTCAACAAGTTCCTTCCCTCTTCGACCCCCCCCCAGACCACGTTCTGTCATCCACTTAAAGCCGCTGGGTATGTCATGCGTTTTCCCCTTGTCTCTCTTTCTCTCTATTCGACGCGTGAGTATCAAATTCTCCAGGCCCTCCTTCCTCATTATGAGTCCTAGAAACTTCAGCTGCCTCTTTCTGATGTTAAGTATAAGCCTTATCTTTGTTTGTAACCTCTCTAAGAACTCATCATTGCTCACACGCTCGGTCCATGATATCCTTAGCATCCTTCTGTAGATCCACATTTCCGTCGCCTCCGAGTCTCTTTTTCATCTTTGAGGAAATCGTCCAACATTCGCTGCCATAAAGAAGGACAGACGTCGCGTAACAACTCAGTACTCTTTTCTTTGTTACCAAAGAAATCCTCCTGTCTCGCAATACTCTACCCAGCTTTTGGAATGCGTCTTTGTCCCTCCCAATACGTCTACGGTTCTCGGAGTCGCATTTACCGTCCTCTAACCAAACACAGCACCAAAAAAGGTATTGATCGGTTTGAAACTCAAGGACTTCTTGATGAAACATCGTTCTGAAGAAGTTCAAAGACACCAGTCGAAAAGTTATAAAGACTATCAATAAGACTATTTTGTAGAATATTATTTTATATAGCTGTAGGGCTGAAATAATTCCCGGGGCTCTTCTTCCGGATTGTTCTGGAAGGAAGTAGCAGAGGAGGAGGAGAAGGGGTTTTCCCGTCTGAGTAGATGCTGCGGTTGTAGCATCTGTTCCGTGCCGGTTACCTTCTCTACCCTCTTGCGTTCTCCCCCACCCCGATGCGTAACTTCTATTCCATAGCGGTGGTATGACCGGCTATGACAAGCTTAGACAAGCTAAGACCAGCCGCTCGAGTGAAAACACTCGGGTCCCCTCGCTAAAAACCGACCTTGTCTCATAATTCGGCTCAGTGGGGAGTCAAGGTAAATCCCGGGCTGAAATACCTCCCACATAATGGTAAGGCATTAGTTAGATGAAGTCACCATTGCTACTAATATCTTATCATTATGTGGAAAGTATTTCTGCGGCACACCGTATTAGCATAGCACCCATAAAAAATTGACAATTTACATATGAATAATTTTTTTCTGGCTGTCTCTGCAGTTTTTTGTTAACAATTTTAAAACGATGAACTAACGACATTAAGACATCGTCATCATTAATAGTACCAGCAGTAGTTGCCTACCTCCGAAAAAAACCTACAAATACCGTAGAACCCAATTTGTATCTACATGCACGCAGTACCCACTTTCTATCAGTTTCCTTTAACATGACAGTAAACTAACAGATAAACCAGAAAGTGATAAGCGCTTTTCTGTAATAAGATTAAGGTCTTATTTCTGGTGGATTTCAATTTCAGGCTTCAGAATTGGATTTAGAATAAGTATTACACCATTAAAAAATATTCACTGAGGATGAAACAAGATAAAATATAGGTAGTAAGATCGTATTATACCAATCTTTCAAATAGCAAAGTCCATTGATGTCTTCAAGATCGGCATTCGAAAGGTTAGTCTATAACGGGGTTCGAATATCGATCTCTGGCGTCGGTGAGAAAGAAGCAACTACTTTACCTACCAATCAAACATTATTGTTATAGTTGATTAATTATTTAATTACTATTGTTTTTTTAATGACATTTTTTAGATCCGAAGGAAAGTTGCTCGAGTATAGAATTTCATTATAAATGGAAGATCTGCGTGCAACGGAATTATTAAATTTTAGCTTTTTAAGAAAAGGTTATTGTGGATTTTATATAATTCAACCGCTAAACAGCGCGAAATTAAAATAAAGTTGCTTCCCAAACAACTTTGATCTTCAAAAATTTAAATGCAATGTCAATCGTTATCTGCTATCTTCCTGATTACTCTTCTATTGTTCTGACTCCTTCATAATGTTTTCTGTTTTCGAATTCTTTAATCCCCAGTAACCCTTTGTGTTTTAGTCTTTACTGTCTTGCTTGGAGTTTAATTGAGTCTTCCCTTTTTGTTTTGTTTTTTAGATCCAAAAGAAAGTTGTTCAAGTACAGAATTTCAATGTAAACGGAAAGGTTGTGTGGAAAAATCCAGAGTGTGTGATCTCAGCGACGACTGTGGAGACCGAAGCGACGAAACTGGCTGCGGTATGTATTCAGTTTTATATTAGTCAAATCTGAATCTACCATCGCTTTCGGCCACGTCTTTATCCATTTTCAAGGGGTTTGTTGTTGTGTTGTTAACTTCTTTTCATATTTGTTTAAGATGCAGTTGCGTGATGCTTATATAGTAGTAGTAGTAGTGTTTATTCCGAACGTGACTGGAATTCAAGTTAGCGTCTTTAAAAAACCCCAAAAATCTTTTAACACATTATTTCCACTGCTAAATAAAATGAGATTAATACTGGGTGCCAGATGATGTTTTATGTAAAGGTTTTCATTGACAACAAAATGTTTTCGGTTATGGGATTCAGAGGGATTAATACGTTCAAGGCTATCTCCAAACAATAATTGTTACAAATACGGAGTTTTAAAATAAGCATTAGTGTGTGGGGTCTGCAAAACATCGATCTTGACCTACATAAAAATGGCTAACTTCGACTATTCTCTTAGGTTCAACAACGTCAAAAGTGCTAGTTTTGTTCCGATTTGAATATTACGTCAGCAAATCCGGGTTATTCCCACAAACTATGCCATCATTTGAGATAGAATTAGTTACATACTTGATACATGTGTATTTCATACATTGCAAATGGCGTTGACAAAAACAGGCTATCAACCATTTACGAGGTTAGCTGGTATTTTCTGTACAAAAACATGCAGCGGTTAGCGATCCGAAAAAAAAAAACAGAAAATTTTCTCATAAAATATTTCAAATGAAATCCTACTGTGAAAATAATGGATATGTAGGAGACGATTGGGGTCACAATAATTGGTGCATTCGGATCAGTGCCAAAGATATTTGCGAAGTTATTAGAATTTGAACCAGCCAGTATTTCTAAAATCATCAAGAATATGGAGGTAATGTTTTTGAGATTCGTCATTGTTTGACCTTCGGTGAATTTTTGAAAGCTAGAATTAAGTTTTGTTTTGTTTTTCTTCAGAAATATACACTTCCTGTGATTTTGAAAGCGGTTTGTGTGGATGGTCGCAAGGCACGAACGACGATTTTGATTGGACGCGACTCAATGGAGCAACTGCGACAATGGAATCTGGACCTTCTAGGGACCACTCTAAAGGAACAGGGTCAGGTAACAAAAACACAATGCTGATAGACTTATCAGCTTGCTATTTTCAATGAGTTTTCAGGGTTTTGTTGCGGGTCGGTAGTATGCGGTGAGAGATAAATACAGGTCTTCTAAAGTGCCCACAATAAACATGGCAGATTCGGGATATGAGTCCGCGTAAATAAATAAAAAAGAAACGAAAAGAACGAATATATATTTACATACATATGATAATGTATTAACAACAAAGGTATACAAGTGACAAAGACATGGGTCAAATAAATGTGAAAACCATTTTGGCCAAAATTATGTATAGTGAATGAATGTACGTATGTGTGTATTGCTCATGGGTTTAGCAATAGAGAAGGCATTTTCCGCGAGAGGTTTATATGTTGACAAATAAGATCAGAGGAGAATGATAAAAATTATCGCAGAGTATTTATAGTCCTGAAAGTGTCCTCAAGTAGCGGATTTGAAAATTAGGAGGTGGTAACCCAACAATACTCCACCTCCAGACGGGTAGAAATTTTTTCTATATGTAGAGTTTGTGTAGATTTTTATCTTTGTGAGCTGAAAAGAAAAGGGTTCGAAAGTGTCATTGAGATGAGTGATTCAACGAAATGTATTTGTGCTGTCATCTAGTCTTATTTTCTAGTTGAATGTAGCACGCTTTGGAAAATGCGTCGGTAATGTAAATTGTTCAGCGTTTGATATTAAAATGTATCTTTTTCCAGTACTCCACGTTGAATCCAATTGAATTGGTTGAATTGGTATACATAAAAATATATGTGAGGGTTTATACGGTGAAAGAAAAACACGTGTGTCTCCTGAAATGTCCACAACAAACATGGCAGATTTGGGATGTGAGTCAACGTAAAACATGGAAGTGGGTGGTGTGAGATTTTATTTCGGTCTTAAGTTCTTCGTGTTTTATGTGACCAGCCAGCAATAACAAAAATGTCAACATCCTTCCCCATATCTAAGGCAACTACTTGCGCTTATGGTAATTTATACAGAAAATGGCTGAGGTGCCCTCAATGAAAGATTACTTTTAATTTTTTTTGTAGTGAAGCCCGCCTTATGATGAGCCATATCTGATGCTGCCCACTGCTCAGAAACGATTGTCCGTACCTGTTCTATAGGATGATTAATGTTCTTTTTCTCCCCACCAAACGCATTTGTTTTGTTTTTTTTAATCTGTACGTTTCAGTCGATAGGGACTGGGGGGGGGGCTTTCTCAAGTGTACAAGTCTTTTGGAATAGGTGTTACCGTTTTTGTTTTCTTTGGGTTTTTTTTTATTTTTTTTGTTTTGTATTTTGTTTTTTGTTTGTTTGTTTTTGTTTGCTTGGGGTTTTTTTTGTTTTGTTTTTTTTTTGGGGGGGTGTTTTGGTTTTTTTTTTTTTTGGTTTTTTGGGGGGGTTGTTTTGTTTTGTTTTTGTTTTTTTGTTTTTTTGTTTTGTTTTTGTTTGTTTGTTTTTTTTTGTTTTTTTTGTTGTGTTTTGTTTTTTGTTTTTTTACCGATGAAACTGTCAGAAAGAAAATAAGTTTGGTATAGCGTAACATTTTTTAAGCGCCCTTTTCACACCTGAAGACCGGATGATAGACTAACTTTTGCCTTGTAGTAGCAACAGCAAAAAAAAATAAAAAATAAAAAAACTCCTCAAAAACAACTCCTCTGAAAAATACAGAATGTCTCTAACAGTATGTTTTAACAGGTCTATTTTTCTTCTCTTTAAGGGTATTATGTTTACTCCGAAGCATCACCACCGCGTAAAAAAGGTGATAAAGCTCGTCTTGTAAGTCCAGTCATCAAACCAACCACAGACGAAGAGTGCTGGGTAAGAAACCAATCGTTAATTTTAAAATCAACCTAATTCGCACCATCCATATTGAGATGAATGAGTAAACAATTACTTTAACCCGTATTCAACTGGCGTCAGTTTTAAATGACACGTTTTCCCTATAGCTAAACTATACTTATAAGCAATAGATATAATTAATAAAAGTATAATATCTAAACTATTATTATGAACTATATTCTACTGAAATATGTTAAATTTTCTAAGCTTTCAGCTGCCATCAAGAAATTTGTTAATAAAGTTGGTTCACTGTATCATGCTAGATAATTTTTCTCTCCGGAATCTATCTTACATATTTATAAGTCTACTATTCGCCCAAGTATCGAATATTGCTGCCACATATGGTCCGGTGTTCCTGCTATATATTTAGAGATTCTTGATAAAATCCAAAAAAGAATCTGCAATTTTATTGGTCCTGACCGGGCATCTCGGCTTCTGTCACTTTACCATCGCCGTAACGTAGTTTCCTGTACTTTTTCTAGAATTACTTTCATCAAGGTAATTGTTTAGATGAACTTACCGCATTAGTACCGAGACTATGGATTTGAGCGCAGTTCGAGATTGTAACAAGATGTCATCAATTTACAGCTGAATTAAGTTACATGTTAACAGTTTCTTTTTCCTCTGGTGGAACTCTCTTCTGATTCCGCGATTTCCAGCCAACTTTGATCTCCAAAAATCTAAATGCAATGTCAATTATTATCTACCATCTTAATTCTTCTTCTTTTATTGTTCTTGCGCCTTAATAATTTTTCTCTTTTTTTTTTTTTTTTTTTTCCCTTATTCTTTCACACGCAATAACCCCTTTTGTCTTAGTGACCTTACTGCCTTACTTGGAGTGAAATGATTAAAAATCTTTATAGAAACAAAAAGGACGCTTATACATAACACCAAAAATAAACAGTTTAAATATGTTGGCCACACGAGGAAAGCAGACTTGGAAGGGTTTGCACTCTCAGGGCTTATTGAAATCTAGAGGGACAACGGAAAGCAGCGTGGAACTTACCTAATAAGCTTTTTGTAACTGGTTGGCAAACTAAAGGCATGCGAGAGATGGCGAACAGATAAAAATTAATAAGAGCTACAAAGAACAGGAAGTTGTTAAAAACCATGATCGCCCGCGTCCTGAAGAGGCAAGACATATAGAGGATATGAATTAAAAAATGTATATCTCCTTAAACTAAAGATTTAAAGTTGGTAACAGAAGTATCTAGGCGTAAGTTTCGGTCATTTTTAAAAATTTAACTGCCTAATAAATAGAATAAAAATAACAATGCAGAAGTTGGGGACAAATGCTGGGGAGGAAAGGCTAGCAAGTTTCGGAAGCAAGTGAGAATTGTGAATTGAATTCGAAATAGAGACGATCTTGAGCCTGATGGAACTCAGTAGACATATTGCTACAGATAGACAATTAACGTACTTAATCACGGATCATTGCTCTTAAAGTGGATTATCTCTTCATTGATACCCTACTTTCTTTAACCTTGTGCCATATAACAATAATAATAGTAATGTGTAATTTTTTTTTCAAAACTGCTCAGTGGAAAATGTTTTGATACCATTTCTGACCTTAGATCTCTGGCCGGGACCCGGAAAGAAATGAGTATACACCAGAAACCAAAGGAAATAATAATAATAATAATAATAAAAACACTGATAAATATTTGAACAGTATTAGGATGAGTGACACCGAAATCCGAAGGCGTATTGGAATGGCTAAAGATGCCTTCCAAAAGCTGAACAATGTATTAGTTCGGAAGATTTATGTCATATCACTCCTCCTATGTAATAGGGAATGTTGGACAGTTTCCTCAGAGATGAAGAGGAGACTTGGATCAACAGATGTTTCTATAGATGAATACTGAGAATAATATGGACAGAACATGTGACCAACGAAGCAGTTTTAAAGAACATGAGACTAAAAACGACACTTGTAAAGGGTGTTTCATTAAGATGGATCAAAGTCAGCAGTAAATAAACCAGTGTTATTGGTGAAAATTTATTTATTTCACTATTCGATCATGTTATTTAAGTCATGGCAATTATGTATTAAAAAAAAAATATCGCCCAAATGTCCACCAAGGCTTCGGCTGCACCCCTCCACTCGATGGTCAAACTTTTTGATGATGTCTCTGCATAGTTGCTCCTCGATCTCACCAATATGCCTTATTATTTCGTCCTTCAACTGTTGAATTGTTGTTGACTTGTTGGCATAGATCTTACTTTTGGGATGACCCCAAAGGAAGAAACTTCTTATTCAAATTCTGTTTGAACATCCATTTTCATAATAAGTTTCGATAACTTTAACACGTTGTTTGCTTGTTAATCTTTCCATGGTCGAAATTGCCAAAGACTTAAGTTGTTAAATCCGAAAGAAAAAGAAAAAAAATCATTGGACGCTTGAACTTAATTCACATTTAAAATCGGTTCAAGTTATTGGAAAACCCTTTACTTTGAATCAGAAAGAGACAGATGACATTTCTGAGGCGTATAATAAGTAAAGGAGATTTGGAGTATTTGACAGTTAACTAAAAACACGAGCTTCTCAAATTAAAAAAAAAAACCCACGGGTAGGAAGTTTTAATCTTTGTGTTGATATAATATTCTCTTTCTTCTGGAGACAAAAAAAATATATATTGTGTTGAAGGATTTTTCTTTTTTGTTCGTCGTAAAAAAAATTGTAAGGTTTTTATAAATTGCAAAAGCTTCAATCAAAATAAATGTAAATTCTCATTACATTTACTCTTTGTTCACATGATGAGAATTTGTCGTATCGTGTTCTTTTTAAATAATATTGTCGAAGAATTTTATTTGGCGAACTTAGACCTTTGTGTCCGCAAAAGTATAACGAGGGTCAAAGAACTTGTTTTCCATTGACACCGCTATTATTTTAACTACCTTTACCCCTCGACAATGTTTATTGTTTTAAAAAGTGATTTAGAATTGTAATAAAACCTAAACATATGAAGATGATACATTTTATTTGTTCTTGAAAATTGACAACAAAAATAATAAATACTATTTATATTGTCTATTGAAAAGGTTGGCAAAACATTGCCTAATTCGAACTTTATAAAATGTTAAATAATAAGAATTTCCTTATAGTTGGTTCACATGTTTTAATAATTTAGTAAATGTTTATAGATTTATGAATAATAAAAGTTTATATTTATCTCTTTATAAATTGATAAATGATAAATTTATCATTAGTTTAATCAGTTTCTAAAGTGATGTAAATACAAAATTATTCTTGTAAATAAAAAATTTAATAAATAAATAGTCTTTAATATTTTTGTTGTAAATTTTCAAGAATAAAAAATGTAATAAAACCTAAACATATATGATGTAAGTGAATTTAAACAATTCTAATCATTGCTTTTTAAAACAATAAACATCATTGAGGAGTGGAGGTAGTTAAAATAATAGCGGTGTCAATGGAAAAACTTTTTACACCCCTTTTTTTGTTGTTTTTTTTCCAACACAAATGTTCAACTTTGTCTCTTAATTTTCATTCTTCGATGTTAATTATCTTTGCTTAAATGATTTGTATCGGAAAATATTCACAAATTTCAAAAAGTCTGCAACTGACAGCAGTGTGGCTTAAACAACTTAAAAATAAAATTATACAATTACAGATAAAGACTAAATAAATGTTATTTTATATTATGTTCAAGAATTCTCCTAATTCAATTATTGGGTTGGTGCATAATTATGATAAATTTTTTTTTAAATACCATTTATTATGAAAAAAGAAACACAACAATTCAACAATAACATTTTTAAATGATTATTCCGGAGAGTATGATTATCGACAGGAATTATTATAATCTGAAAATAAAATAATATTTTTATTAAAAAAGTAAACAAAACAGCAATTTTCATTAATAACTCACATACAAAAACGCCTGATAATTATGCAACAACCTAATTATTTATTTATATATATATATATATATATATATATAAAATAATGTTATAATTTATTATATATATATATTATATATATATATATATATATATATGTGTGTGTGTGGAGATATATAATATCATACCATGGGTTGACCCAGTCCTTATGAGTGAAATTGGGTAGACGAAACACTTGATGACGTTGACAGCTGTGCTAGCATGAAGACAAAAGTCATCGTGATCGAGGGTTTGAGCGTGCTGGTGTTGTTCAAATTGTTGATCATTCTAGATAACATGCTTTCTACCAGAAACTATAACTAAGGTCTGCTCAGCATAGTTGCAGTATGAACCACTGGTTGGCTCTATGGGTGTTGAACAAACACAAATGTGCCTGAGCGAGAGTTTGCAATAGGGATTGGCTGGACGCCGTAGTAGACGGGTATGTGTCTGCATACATATGTGCGTGTGCGTGTGTATACATACAAATACATAAAAATGTGTATGTACATACAAATCTCTATCTATAAAAGGCAGGATATGTGTGTGTTTGCGTGTGTTTGTAACGAATGTACGGCCGCAATTTTCAACGGATTTGCACCAAATTTTACATGCACATGCTCCAAGTTAACGGGAAAGCCAAGACCGACGTTGCATTTCCCAACTCTCATTGATAGTGGAATTAATCGATTTTTTCATGCTTCTACAGCATTTTTCATGTAATTTGCGGCCATTTTCTACTGGCCAGAATGAGAACCACGAATAGACAGAAAGATTATATTGGCCAGCGTGAGAGCCAACAGCTGACTGACACGAATGTTAACTAGCATGCTAGCATGCAAAAAAAAAATCGATAGCTGCATTCGTCACAAGTGGGAAAAATTTAAATCTGCATGGCACTTTACTCCAATTGACTCATTTGCTTGCTTAAACTCAACGTTGATTCTGATTCCGCAGAACTGGGTCGGAGGTGAAAAAGTATTTGTTGTTAAAATTCTATTTTTATTTGGGTTTTTCTAGTTACGAGTCCTTTTTTTAAAGCTGATCGTTTTGTGTTGATTTTGTTTAGTTCTTTTTTTCGTAACAGATTTAATATTTAGTATAGAGCTTAGAAAAAATTCGCAGTGTGAGATAGGCAAGTAGTAAGGCATGTACCAACATCAGCACGGCAAAGGGCACTCCTTTAAAGGCAATGAAGGGCAAAAATATTTTAAGTCAAGTCATAGCGATTGCTGTATGAGTCGTACGATTTTTGAATCAAGCACGGGCAACGCTGCTAGTATATATATATATATATATATATATATAATGTGTGCATACATACAAATATATATATATATATATATATATATTATGCATGGTTCATTAGACCCAAGCATTAAAATATTTGCTAATTCTTGCATAAAATATTTAAGTAGCCCGAGTATTGTTCAAAATTATAAGTTTCTTAAGAAAACAAAAAAAAATCCTCATGTTATTTATCTTTCTTTTCAGATTCGCTTTTTCTATCACATGAATGGTTTACATATGGGTAATTTGAATGTGTACACGAGGACATCAATTTTAGGATCTTATACAAAGGTTTGGACAAAGTATGGCAATCTTGGAGATATCTGGGAGAAAGCAGACGTGAAATTGTCTTCAGATCATATGTTCCAGGCATGTATTAAATTATTATTTTGTCCTTCGTTTAGTGTATGTGTTTTCTCTATTATCAAAATTAAAATATGTCTCCAGCTCAGTCGGCTGGGGCTTCAGAATAGTCTGACTGCATCTCTGCACAGGGGTAAAACCCCAACCCCCAATGTGGTGTCCTGGTTTTGACAAGCTTCTTCCGGCAGCAAGTCTTCTGATCAGGACGTTTTGAGGAGCATGGAACCATCTCTTATTTGCTGCTATTCCCAGATCCACTCTGACCCAGGGTGGTAGCACTTGTTAGGTTCCCAGCTATGGCCAAATATTTAACCCCTGAACTGGGGGCAAAACATTATAAAATTATAAAAAAATATATTTTTTATTTTAAAAATACGAGCAATACATTTTTTTAATTATTACCAGCAATACATTATTGAAAAAGAAATTACTAATGCTACCAAGAAAAATAAATTTCGGCATTAAATGACGCATACGGAGTTGATATGCCATAAAATAAAATAAACCCAGTAAACAGATCTCTATTTTATCAAGGGACCTTAAATAAGTAGAAGACTTGGTGAATATAAAGAAGATTCTTGTGAATATCAAGTTTTTTTTTGTTATTGTAGGACGAGTTTAAATTCATAGACGTTAAGAATTGTAATTGATAAAGAATTTTCAGTTTTAAGCTATTTAATTTTAATTTGTTAATTTTTTTCACATTTGCTCCATATCAAATTAATAAAACTGCTTATCTGGAACACAATAGACCCCGGCCACACCTAAGAAATAAAATGGACCTTTATATCTGGATCTGAAGCATAGCAGGTTTATGACGACATAAACTATAAAAAAAAAAAACTGCAGAGGAAATCTTCAAAGCGATCACTCGTCCAGAAGTTTAGAGATTCCAGTCGCAGGCTTGTATAAACAATCATAGCAGGAATGGAGAGTAATTTCGGACCAGGCGTTATGGCGTAGAGATGGGTTGTGGTGGTAAAAGAGAATCGGAGTTCTCGCTGGCCAAAGAGAGGATCTGGTCCGTTAGTCTGTCTTGAGAGAGAGGACAGAATTAGCAGTGAAGTTGTCCAAAGCGTCACCTACCTATCCCACCAGATTGCGTCACGTGATCACGTAGATAAATTACCGAAATGTTACGGAAAAAAGAATTTGCGTTTACGCTTCTCAGTAATTTCAGCTTTCATTTCCTTGTGAACGTGCACCGACACTTTCCCAGTTCTTGTACACGCCTACAGAAGTTGAAATCGAAGTACAATGTGGGGTGACTTGTGCAGTCGGTGAAAGCTGAGAGAAGGCATCTGAGTACGTTTACATATCTACGTAGATATTTATTAATCTTAGCTTAGCTTGTCCTGTGTAAGACATACAACTGAATCCAGCACTGTTAGCGGGGCTTCAGAATAGAATTCATCAACTGTTAAAAAAAAAAAAAAAAAAAGAAATAATCTTTTGTTGAATACCGAGCCACCTTGACATATGTGGAAGTGAAAAAGCAAAAGCAAAGAGATCAATGAAAGACCATAACAAACATGAAAATGCGATACATTGTTTATAGGACTGTTGTTAATGAAATGATCGCAAATAAATAGTAAAAACAGTTGGATACCCTAACAAACTTCTGAACATTAAACACACCAATGGAGAATGGAACACAAAATGCGATAACAATAGAAGAACAGGTAGTATATAGTCCACACTGTTATAGACAAGCGTATGTTTGCAAGAAAGAAATACGACAACAGCAGAAATAGATTTACGTGGTTTATTTCAACAGGAACGTGTGGGTTTGGGACAGCTACCTTGTGGTACAGTTCATAAGCCGGCTTCGGATCTAGGTCGATCTCTCATAGTAGTTCACACATGTTGACGGTAGTTGATGCTCTCCTGCTGTCAGCTGCTGACCGTGACAGGTCTCTACCCTGGGCACCTGTGGACTGCCTGTTGAACTTCCGTGTGACCCCTTTTATAGCGTTTTTTATGGCTTAACAGGCTCAAAAAAACGAAGGAGTATAATTAGGAGGGAAGCATTTTTTATTGGACGAAAAAAAAATAGAACACTTTAAATATTATTTTTTTTTTTCGACCGGAACACGTGTGTCGGGAACATTTGTAAATAAAGATAATGATCATTTTGTGACGGGGTTTTGTCCCGTTCACATCCGGTTCTTGGAATAATTATTTTATCTCTACGAATTTATTCTAAAATTTTGTCGCCACTAAATAACCCACTGAGGTTGATGTACAGTAAAACAAAACAAACTTAGCTTAGCCTGAAACAAGACAAAATGGTGAAAGATTGTACTGTGTCAATATTCCAAATAACGTTTATGGATTTAATTTGACTCAAGCACCGGAGTGAAATATATAACTACTTCAATCACCAAGCAAGCTCGACTCTTATTGCTCATCATAAGGGAAAGAAAGTGTCATCCTTGTGAAATTCTCTAACAAAACCAATATTGATATTTACTAATTTTGTAGTCTGGTATAAAATCAATTGGAAAAACCCTTGATGTGCGCCAGTGGCGTTGCTAGAGTAAACGTCACCCGGGGCGGTCCGCTCAAATGTCACCCCAATGACCCCGATTCACCCTATGCTGAATGGTTAGCTGTAGCTAAATTTTCATACATGCTTTACCTCTACTTTACTCTACTGACCGGTACGTTACTGTTTACATGTATGATCCAAGACAAAATCCAATACCACAAAATAATCAGTTCAAATCAAAAGCTGAAAACATTGCTATTTTTCCTACTCACAAATTTCCCGACAATTCATTAGAAAATTTCTGACGGGGGGACAAAACTGGGGGGGGGTCATATGTCAGCCTGCGAAACCCTGTGTCTCTACCACTATTTTCAGACTATTTTTGGCACCTTAGCCTGGTTGAAAAAATTTGTTGGGGGTGACATTGTGTCACCCCTCCTGTGATGGCACCCGGAGAGGTCCGTCCCCCAGCTACGCCACTGATGTGCGCTGAAAATCAGTATTACGAAGTCTTGGTTTTAAATAATTATATAAGAAAACAAGATGTATCGAGAGTTTCCTAGGGACTAGTCTTTTCACACACACACACACACACACACAGGATTGTTAACAGAATTCCAACAGATATTGTCTACTCCGAGACAAACAAAACAAACCATGGGTGAGCTTATACAGCTAAAGAATCAGTTAGAAGTATCAGTTGACGTCCGATTACCAGCTTCACACTGCATGTGTTGGGGGTGAAGGCTTGTTCATTGATGACTACTTCCTAACGCAACTTTAAAAATGCGGCAACGCAATGAATAAAATTGTTTCCGTTTTGATTTTCTTATTCCGTTTGTTTAAAAAAAATATTTTTCTTCTTTTCTCAGGTTGTATTTGAGGCTAAGATTAATGGAATCACAAGTGACATGGCACTAGATGATATAACATTTACACCTGGGTGCCATCTAGGTGATCCAAAAAGTGAGTTTATTGATTTTTTTTTTTTTTTCATTTTGTTTTTGTTTCTTTTAGTTTTGTCATATATAAAAAAAATAACCCGGGAAATATTTTGACATGTTTCACTGATGGATTGGCTTCTTGAGAAGATAAAAATAATTACTTCAACAAAATCTAGAGTAGCAAAACAGAACATGATTCGCATAAAACATCCTCCTGATCTAACATGCAGATTGATACAAAAAAAATGAACAATGATAAAGATCAGTTGTGAGGAACTTAAAAGAGTGCTACTATTCAAATATAATTGCTCGATAATCAAATAAAGAGGGCTCCGGAATAAAATATACTTTCACGAGCAGTACAAATATTGACGCCTGTTGTAAGCCTTAAAACCCATCTGAAAATAAACGCGGGAACATCTGCCTGGAAGTCGTATCGGCAATCAACTGTTTAGACTTCTCGATTTTTCTTTTTTATATGCATTTTACATTAGGGCAAGTTTGTTTTTTCATAGTGTATGTGTGCATTCGCGCGCGTAGAATGTCGTGATATATATATATATATATATATATATATATATAGTGTAACCTGGATATATTTTCTCTGGTCCCAAATTAGAGCCCATACTTACCTAATCAAAATAGACCAAACCCGGATATAAGAGACTTCTTCTCCGGTCCCGACAACTCTCTTATATCCGGGTTACACTGTATACACACACATTTTCTGTTGGCCAAAATCTTAAGGCCAATGAAAAAAAATAAAACAAATACATACCTTTTGGGTTTCTTAGACTCAATCACTTATTTGTGTAGAGCTTCAAAAAATGAAAATAAAAGAAAGAATAAAAATTATAAAACGTTTTTCTATTTCCATTTTGAACATGTCTGTCATCTGGCTTCCATTTTGGTCAAAAGGCCTACTAATATACAATAAATATTATTAATCCTATTAATATTATTTTTTAATCTCTGAATTTCTTTCATCGGACTATTTCATCATATATATATATATATATATATATATATATATATATATATATATATATAAGAAAGAACATTAAGATATATAATCCGGTGTTCTTAGCAATTATTTTATTAAAAAGATCGATACAAACAGTAGAGCATATTATAATTATTTTCCTTTTTTTTTAAATATGATTCCATCACAACACATAAATTTCTATGTTTCAAAACTGAAACTAAAGTTGTAAATTTAATTATAAAAATTAAATTTAAAATCCATAGTTTCGTTCCATTGTCAAGCGATGTTAGGAATAACTTTCTAAGAAATATACTTAATTTATAACCGCAATCTTAATATTTTGAGTTGTTAAGATTAAGGAAAAAGCTATGTAAGTGATTGTAATAAATGTGAATGTAATTTCAACTCGACTTTTCGTTTCCTTTTTATATCATAACGATTAATTAGTACATATTTTGGAGTTTTCAAAACTACGAGTTAAAAAATTTAATATGCTATAAATATAGTTTCAATATGTAGCATATAAAAAATGTATTTTTTATATCATAACGATTAATTAGTACATATTTCGGTGTTTTTAAAAACTACAAGTTAAAACATTTAAAAAGCTATATAAATATTATAGTTTTAATGTGTAGCATATAAAAAATGTATTTTTTATACTTTTTCAGCTTTGTTACCAAATGGAACGATTACCAAATCCACGCCAATGCCATGTACTGCTGGTCTGTTCCATTGCAGAAGTTCAGAGTGTATACTCCAGTCACAAGTGTGTGACTTCATCAAACAGTGCAAAGATGGTTCGGATGAAGATATCTGCGGTATGTTAAGATCGTCAAGTTAAAATGCAGAGATAATGTCAAAATTAATTTTGTTAATCAGCAAATGCAGTCTTCTTAACCTTTTCATGCCAATTAATTTTTTTTTTCTTGAACTCATAGTAGAATTAAATATGAATACCCTCAACACTTTTTACGTGTGATTATCTTTCAGGTACCTGCAATTTTGAATTAGTTGGTAATTGTGGTTGGAATGATCGGAGTACCGGCCGTTTCAAATGGCAAAGCCACCAAGGAGATTCACCCGGGAAATTTGGCCCCATCAAAGACCACACATCCAATTCTGATATTGGTGAGATTTTAAAGTTTTACCTTAGTATAAGTTTGTAACGAGAGATAGGGAAAGAAATATTTATTCTCTCAATTACGTTTCTCCTGTTGTTATAAAGATTTTCCAAACGTAGCTTAGATGTGGCACAAGGCCGAAAGTAAGAGGCACTCAGTGAGGATCGAACTCACTACTCAGTAGTAATTGGTCTTGCTAACCATTACACCGTCTCGAGGTGCCAAATTATGGGTATTGTTATATCCGTGATATAAAAACACCGAAGTTCACTGGCGTGATAGAATGAAATGGCTGAAAGGAAAAAGTATGACAAACATGCTTTGTTTTCAGAGAGACTTTTATATACTGCGATATGCACAAACCATATATATATATATATATATATCCATATATATATATATATATATATATATGTCCCACGTGGAGAACTATGTATCACATATATCCAACAGCAAAGCAAAGTATGAGAAGAAGATATTCCTGACCTGAAGAAGCCATTTTTTAGGACTCCAGATTTAATGGGCCGGATTTATCTATGTCCCAATGGAAAACGGCATCATGTGCTTGTAAGCTGGGGAGGCATATTTAGCCTCAGCCTGGACCAAAAGCCCAAGCTAGAAGAAAGCAACCTTCTCATTTGGTTGCTATTTACGAACTGAAAATCGACTTCGCTTTGGGTCAGTCTATGGAATGTCGTCATGAAGCGGTCTTCATGGGACCACGGAACTTATCGTCCACCAAAGGGAGATAAGCGCCTTCTGTATCCCTACAAGTTTTCCTATATTTAGAAGACAATCCTAACAGTGAATGTCATTTGTCTGAAAACTGGCTCCACTGAAAGCGTTAAGTCGATTCTTCACTTCATCGACGAAAATTGAAAACGTAGAAAATTAAAGGGAGATAACTGTAATAACTACATGGAGATATAGTTCAATTTTGGATTTAATTTAGAGCCAATTTGTGATTATTTAAGAAGCCTGGTTTGTCCGAGGAGCAAAGGGGTTTTGGCCTTTCACAGGCGAATAACCGTGGGCTATTTCTGTGATCTGTACAAAGAAAAACGAAGTCTACACCAAAGAAAGGTAGAAAGGAGCGGTCCAAATACGATCTGACTTCATATTAATGAACTTAAAATGCAAGCTGTCGTTATTTCTTCCACTAATGTACACTAAATAATAATTCGCGTAAATTTTACCATGGCAACTCTAAAAACGCTTGATTATATCTTCCACATCGATAAGGAAAAACACTTCGTTTCCCTGTTTAACACTTTAAGTTACACTTTAAGTTACAAATATTAATGAGAACACTTTTCCTACAGGCAAGTACATGATGGTTCTTGGAAATGCTGGAGTTTCCAGATCACATGCAATCCTGCTGACTCGGCCATTTGGTGCAACAGCATCTACCTGTCAAGTAGAATTTTATGTTTACATGACAGGTGATGGAACGGGTAAGTTCGCTTCTTTCTTTCTTTCTTTCTTTCTTTCTTTTCATCTCCTCCATTAATTTTTTTCATTTCCATTTATTTTGCGGTTTTATTTATTTTTTTTAATTTACCCATCTCCTTTTTTTTTTTCATTTTTCTCTCTCCTTTCTTTCAGTTTTCCCCTCTCCTTTCATTTTTCTCTTCCTTTTTTTTCATTTGTTTGTTTTTTTTTTTAGTTTTTTTTTTTGTCTTTACCTTTTTCTGTTGTCAAAACTATGGTGAAAATGGCGAACCGAGTTCAAATTCCACTTGATTCTGTTTCGTTCACATCACACTAATGTTCTTGGGAAAGACATGATTTCCTCCAGCAATGGGTTAAATAGCAGGGTAAACTAGGCACTCGATATGGGGTGGCAACCAGTTCCAGATTAGGAAAAATCTGAATTTTAAACCATCCTGTTACTCCTACGATTCCAGCCTCTTGCTTTCCAATAAACTTTGATCTTAGACAACTTAAATGCACTGTCAATCCTTGTTTTTTGTTTTTTTCGGTTTTTTTTTCAAAATTCAATGCATGGTCGAACGATATATTTATGAATGTGCTTGATAGATTCTGACGAGAAAAACTGCTACGACACACTGAACCAACATTCTTAACAGTAAACGTAACAATTAATTCAATATAATCATCCCAGTTCATGCCAGTGTAAAATATGAGCCTAAGAAGGTGCATTGAGTTGGAGCTTAGCCCCAGACATACATTAGCATAAAATGTTCTCAATAGTGACTAAATGAAAGCAGTTTTGTTTCGAAGACCTTACAATTTACAAGTAATTTCTTGCCCCAGTTAACCACTGATTAGAGGTCCTTTTCGAGAGCAGTTGCCTGGTTTACTTTATCGGATCTGTCGGACTTGCTATTAAGATGGGAGTAAATAGTTGCCATCCGTATAAATACTGTTGTGAAGTGATTTCACAGTGGAGGCTTGTATTTGTACTAAGTCGGCCCTAAAATAGGTTCGACGTACAAAACGTTAAGAACTTGATATAATAGGTATAACGCAGAGTAATCTAGTTGTGGTCGCTGATACTTTAGCATTCGACTGTCGTCCAACATCGACTGACTGACTGACTGACTGACTGACTGACCGACTGAGTGACTCCCTCGTTACTCTTACTACTCCTACTTATTATAGGTGGGAGAGTCTATTAACTATAAAATAGGTGTGTTCCACTATAACAAATACCCAGTTTGGAACTGATGACATCAGGAAGGTCGTTGTTGAAGCTCAAAGAAAGCGCTGACCCAAGGATGGAACCCTAGAAGACCCCTGCGTTAAGATGAAATAATCTATAAGCTTGTCCGTTTGAAACGACTCATTTACACAACTTGTTAAGAAGGATTGGATTAAGCCAAATATTCGCCCAGAGACACCGTAGCTCTTGAACTTGTGGAGAAGACTAGCCTAACAATCCCTGTCGAACACTTTTGAAATATCTAGAGCCACAGCTTTAGCTAGGCCGTACTTGATAGACAAGAAAAGCTTGATAAACAAATTCAGTGATAGTTGTTAAAACATCAGCGGTAGACATGGAGAAACGGAAGCTATATTGTTTATCACAAAGAAGTCTGTTACGTAAGATGCTTAACCAATTCGGCGTTGATTTGAACATTTAGTAATTTACCAAAAAGAAGGTAAGAGACGAATAATAATTTGAGAGGCCAGAAGGTCGTCCAGAGGAACACTTCCGAGAAGACTTTGAACAGGAGCCAGTTAAGGAGCACATTTCTTTTGAACAATTGCAGGAATGCCGTCGAATCCACAAGCTTTATAGTAATCTAGTTTAGACATAATAGTAAAAATCATGGATGGATTTATGTGTATATCACCCGGAAAAGACTCTATTTTAGGAGTGGGGGATCAGAAAGAGATACTCCAGATGAGTCTAGAGTTGGAAGAGAATTTCCGAGCAAAGCATAGCTTTATCTGCAATAGATGACAACACTTCAAATTGATTGAAGAGAGAAGGAATTCAGGATCTACTCCTGTTCAGTACACTTTTGTAGAGCCGCCAATAATCTCGACAAGCAAACTCGCGAGAAGCTATACGATGTCTCATTTTATCAGAGAATAGTGACTTAGCCTCTTTGAGAAAACGTCTACACTCATTACAAGCTTTGACAGAGAGAGGTCTGTTACAATCTGTCCTGTCACGTTGGAATAAGTTATTGAACAGACAGGAGAGAATTTGCACAAAAGCTTAGATGCCGTCTTTCACCAAGGAAGAGATCACAGTGGTACATTTCTCAAGAGGATGATGAAAAAAAATCATTTCACAGGGCATCGCGAAGAAAATCATGAAATGAGTCCTAATCAGCGCGTTGTTCAGTTAATAGGGGATACTTGCGGAAAAAAGATGATTACAGATACTACTGCATGGTTAGATTTGCCAAGAGGATTGAGCTGCAGAGCATGACATGAGTCCTGGAAGGAGGTAAGGAAGAGATCAAGTAGAGAAGCGTGTCCATCAGAATTACTAGGGAAACACATAGAGAAAACTACAATTTGAGAGAGAGACTGAGCAGTTGAGAAGTTCAAAGTTTGGATATCAGCGAGGTCAGTAGCATTAGAGTGATGAAGCCATTTTATGTAACGAGCATTAAACATATCTGAAGTTGAATGTAGAGAGAGGGTCTGATCTATGCTATAAGAAATTCTATCAAACAAGCAAGAGTCACGAGAAGAAGGGAATGTAAAGGAAAAAGGGATATCAGGGTTTAACAGTGAAAGTTGGAAATACATATAAGAACACTAACGAAACTCAAGAGACAGTTCCCTTGCCAGTGGGTGATGTTCGCAAATGTAGACACCAAGGCCATGAGTCCTTTTAAAAGAGAGGAAAATAGCTGGGAACAGAGAATTCAGTGGAAGAGATTGATAAATTCAGAGAGTTACGATGACCAAAGAAAATTCCAAGAGAAACAATTCTGCACTGCTTAGATGCTGGTTTTCACTCAAGAAGGGACCTTGGTTGCAGATTTCTCAACAGGATCATTAAAAATATTATTTCAAGGGGCATTGCAAAGAAAAACACAAAATGAGTCTTGATCAGTGCATTGATAACAAAGAAATTTTGTTAATGTGGTTTTTGCTTGATGGGGGAGTGGAAAAAGATAATTACAGATACTACTGCATGGTCAGAGTTGCCAAGAGGATTGAGCTGCAGAGCATGACATGAGTCCTGGAAGGAGGTAAGGAAGAGATCAAATAGAGAAGTGTGTCCATCAGATTTACTAGGGAAACACATAAGACAAAATCTACTATTTCAGTGAGAGACTGAGAAATTGAGAAGTTCAATATTTGAATACCAGCGAGGTCACTAGCATTAGAGTGATGAAGCCATTTTATATAACGAGCATTGAAGACACAGAACGCAAAAATGTATGCAGACGAGTGTAGAAAGAGGGCCTTAGCTATATTATCAGAAATTCTATCTAAAAAGCAACAGAGAAAGGTGAACGATAAAGGAATAGGATTTAACTGAGTTTAAGAGTAAAAGTTGGAAATACATACAAGAACAATCCCAAGACTCAAGTGACAGTTTCCTTGCCAGTGGGTGATGTTCGCAAATGTAGACACCAAGACCATGAGTCCTTATAAAAGAGTGGAAAATAGCTAGGAATAGAGAATTCAGTGAAAGAGATTCATAAATTTAGAGAATTAGGATGACCAGAGAAAATTCCAAGAGAAAATTATTAAGCAATTGAGAAGTTCAAAGTTTGGATACCAACGAGTTCAGTAGCATTAGAATCCATTTTACTTAAGGAGCATTGAAGTCATGGAACACAAAAATATTTGTAGACGAGTGTTGAGAGAAGGCCTTAGCTATACTATCAAGAAATCTATCTAGCAAGCAACAGAGAGAAAGGTGAGCGATAAAGGAACAGGAATTAACTGAGTTTAAGAGTGAAAGTAAAAAACACATATAAGAACAATCAGGAAACTCAAGAAACAGTGGGAAATATTCACATAGACATCAAGGTCATGTGTGTAGACACTAGGGGCCTTTCGACTGGAGCGGAAAACGATCCGCTCTGAAAATCCTTATTTCAATCATCCCTTTTACTTAGAAAATTCCCCCCCACTCCTTAAGTTAGACTTTGCGCATTCAGCACAAATCATTTCATTTGAATATTTAATACAAGGGAATGTCGAAGTAAGGAAATAGGTTTTTCTCCCAAATAAAAATAAATAAAAAGAATTGCCGACCTATCGATTTGAAAATCAAAGGTAGATCAATCTATGTATATATGAAGATAATAAGGCAAATGAAAAGCTATAAACGACGCGTTTTGCCGAGAGCGACTGCTCTATCCGGCGTCTTCAGGTTAGAATGAAACCAAGATGAAACTGTATGCTAAGAAAATTGGCTTGGGATCTCTGAGGATAAGTGGGAATATATATATATATATATATATATATATATATATATATATATATATATATTACGATAAACGTGCAATCAATTTACAAATTCATTAATTATTCACACAAAACAAATGCAAGGTTAATGATTTAATTGGCGAGAAATCCATCGTCGCAAACAATTCAAATAATATACAAAAACCGCCGAATCCGTTATGAATAAAAGATCCTTGTTTCTATAAATTTCTGCCGTATTAGTTCTTATTTTTTACTACATAGCTTTCGTCTGTTCCTACAGACATCTTCAGAGGTATGGAATAGATGTTGTTCTTGTTTTTCTCTTAGTAATAAGGGACAACAAAAATATATGTATTATTGTATCCGAAAATGCTATTGGAAATGAGTTATTGTTTTAAAATTATTGATTTTAAAATCAAACTCAGCGTTGCTACTACGCGCTCAAAAAATAACTCATTTCAATAGCATTTTCATTCATAACGGGTTTTTTGTATATTATTTGAATTGTTTTCGACGATGCAACATTTTCGCCAATAAATCATTAACCTTTTGTATTTGTTTTGTGTAAATAGGTTCATGAATATATATATATATATATATATATATATATATATATATATATATATATATATAGCCGTTTGGTATCTGATAGATTTTAAATCAGTTCACTGAAACTAGTGTTATGTATATACTTATACATACGTATCTATACATACTCATATAGGCATATACATATATTAGAGAATTTACTTTTTATGCATACTTATAGCCACATGCCTACTTATACCTCTTTTTCATGTATACTTCAATGTTGAGAGGAAAACTGGCGTTGACTCGGTTTTATTTTTATACTCTTTATTTATCTCACATTTTAGAGGGTTTATTTTGTATTGGGCCCTGAATTGCCAACTACAATCACACACACACACACACACACACACACACATATATATATATATATATATATATATATATATATATATAACAGTTGTTGGTCAGAGTTAAATTAGACCAGGAAACAGTTGTATCAAAAAGTGCTCAATATACATATAAAGAAAATAAAATTAAAAATTTAACGTGCAGACCATTTAAATTTAAAAAATATCAGGTGATTTAGGCCCAAAATATCTTTTGGCTTATATCGCCTGAGGATACCGAAAAGTTGGAACCAACGTAGCGTGATTAGCTGATCTCCTAATTTTTTAAATAGATATTACACATATTTATGCGCCTATATATATATATGTGTGTGTGTGTGTGTGTGTCATTTCCAAAGTTTGTGCCTGAATAGTAAAGAAAAACGAAATTTTTACATGCTCCTGAAAAAAAAACGTCTTTTTCCTGTCTGTTTCCACGAATGAAATTCTTGTCTTTTTCCAGGCGCAATTAAGCAATGTCTTGCCCCTTTATAAAAACCGTTAAAAAATAGCTTTTTTTCAACTTAATTTTCTGTGCTGTGTACCATTTAAACTGAGACGATCATCTCTCGCCCCAAAACCCCCTATATTCTTCCTACCACCGTTCCACCATCAACTTGCACAAAGGGAGGTAACCCGCTGCATTCCGTCGTCATTTTTACCTTCGATATGTCGATTTTATCGAAATATCTATTTAAATAATCGTGAACGAGAAAACAAAGCAAAAAAAATACTAATTAAAAATGCAAGTTTTTGGTTTGTCTATAATTTTCTTGTGTGTTTCCTTGAAATAAATTTCTTGTCATTTTCCAGGTGAGATCAGTCTGAATATAATCAATCCAGTTACACGCGAAGTAAAGAAACAGGTAGTTAAAGTAATCGGAAATCAAGGTGATAAATGGATGAGGATTGTGGGAAATATTGGTGCCCAACCTGCAGGATTTGCTGTAAGTAAACGCAATAGAAATTACATTTGCATTTTTAAGTATTTCACCCCAAGCAAGGCGGGAGTGTCACTAGTACGCAAGGCGTTACAGAGAGTAAAAATAAGAGAAAAAATTAGGTATAGCGGAGATTGGGGAAAGGATAAAAAGAAGGGAATCAAGGCATCGGAAGATGACAATTGACATTACGTTTAAATTTTTGAAGATTATAGTTATCAGGGAAGCAAGTAAAAAGGGTGTTCCAGTGTCGAGAAGTGCGAGAGAAGAAACTGTTGATCACATTGCATATCCGTCTTTGGATTTTGTCAAGAACCTCGAGATGAACAGCGGGGGCACCAGACCATATATGGTAACTGTATTGAATGCATGGACGAATGGAAGATTTGCAGACGTGAAGGATGGACTCAAACGAGAAAAACCTTATGGCATGACACAGAGAACCATGACCAAGATCTGTAAAGGGAGCTGGGCAACTACTCAGCGACCCTCCGATTACATGCGGCCATGGGACTGATGACGACAGTGAATACAGTAAACATGCTATAGTCAGTTTCCTCTGGCTTGTAATAAGATTCCCTAATCTGTTTTCCTCCAAAGAAGTGTAAGTCAAGCAATCCAACATCACGTGTCTCCTGTTCGCTACCGCAGTCGCATCCTCTTTGTCGCCTCTTGAAGCGCCTTTTATAGATTAAGTGACAGTTCAAATTTGCATAGGGAGTGAGAGATACTCGCGAAAGTATCCGACTCCGAGATCTGTGTGTGTGTGTGTGTGTGTGTGAAAATATTTTACATGCTAGACACGTCCAAATCCATTTTTGTCCAGGATGTAAGCCATTTTTCTCGTGTTAGACATGCTTTTCACCAAACCAGTAAATATCAACAAGTTAGTTTGGATAGTGTCTGACCTCGATAAGATGACTATGTTTATGATTCACGGGGATTTTTTCCCTTCGTTTCTTCAATCCGATCTCGAAGTTCTTCCTGAGGTAGACCCTTAGAATCCTGTAATACACACACACATATATATATATATATATATATATATATATATATGTGTGTGTGTCTCTCTCACTCTTTATATATATATATTTATATATATATATATGCGTGTGTGTATCTATCTATCTATATATATATATATATAACACAGCCGTTTGGTGTCTGTTGGATTTCAAACACTGTCGAGATGTTCAAAGCAAAAACTTGAGCTTCTCCAGTCTTATCTAAAGCTTGAAAGATTCTTTCAGCGATAATCGTTAGTACATGACCAGTTGACCTACAAAAGCGGAAGCCATCTTGCTTATTTGAAAAAAAGACCCTGCGATGTGAGATGCTTCACCAGTTCAGTGTAGATTTGACTCTCTACTAGTTTGCCAAAAAGATCTAGAAGGTTAATAGGCCGATAGTTCGAGTGGTCAAACGGGTGAAACTACATATTTTTTTACGCTTACGACTATATCTCGTAACACTGGTTCTCGTTCGATCGCCGATTTTATGCAACGTCAAGTCTGGTCAGTAGATATATGGATGGCCACTTGGGAAGACTAGGTGCTATAGATTGCTACCAACACACACTGGGCCAACGCAGTAGGGTAATCTCTTATTCCTTCACATGAACTGCACATGGTAAGATCTGGTGAAAGCCTAAGTTCAACGAAGGACTTCCACACGCTGATTAAGATTGTTTTTTTTTTTCTTATCCAGTTGATGTTCGAAGCCTTACCTAATGTCCAGCATCTTATGATTGGTACTAGCACTGATATGGCAATTGATGATGTGAAATTATTCAATTGCAGACCAAAATTACCAGGTAAGTCAGTTTATTTGTATCTCCTTTGTATTTTCATTTTGTTTATTGAAACGTTTCTCTTAAAAAAAAAATCTTGTCGATTCCGAAAACCTGATACATTAGCTGTCATTGTATTTACTAATACAGCCAAATGGTATGTGCAGATAACGTAATGGTTATCGATACAGAAAATGGAATCGTCAAGCAGAGTTCAAATTCCATTCTTATTTTCCCCGTATGCGGTGTTCATTTTTCACAAATATATCTGGGAAAAAAGTACATCTCTGTTCACTAATTTAAAATCACAAGGTAGACTGGACTTTCTAACCATGGAAAGCGGTCAGTACAATGGACGGACCTCTCCGAGTTCAAAACCGGGGAGAAAGTAACCGAGAAACCACTCTTTCTCAAGAAGCAATGCTTATTCAGGCTGATTAAAGAAATGGAAGTTGCAGAGAGTCATGATCGCTTACGTCCTGAGGGAGTATGGCATGAAACAATAAAATGTGACCTAGTTAAACAGAAGTAGATTCTTCTTATACTCTCCTGAAAATCAACATTCTAAACCCTAGCATTTAGGTGTGCTCGAACCCTAAGAAGTACAAAGCTTCTTAAACTAAGCTTAACTGAGTCTGTCATGGAGCTACAGCAGTGAATGCTAGGTAAGAATTGACCTCTGAACATCCGTAACAGTGGACGAATCAAGCATGCTAATGAACGCTTTACAGGAGGCTTCATGAACTTTGTTAGTCAAAATCTACGGGAAGGGATAAAGCCATTTAGTATTACGATATAAGCTAATTGCGCCTTAAGACCTTTTCGTCGCGCTCTCCTTAAGACCTCTACGTGGCGCTCTCCTTAAGATCTCTACGTGGCGCTCTCCCTAAGACCTCTACGTGGCGCTCTCCTTAAGATGTCTTCGTCGCGCTCTCCTTAAGCCCTCTGCGTGGGCTCTCCTTAAGCCCTCTACGTGGCGCTCTCCTTAAGACCTCTACGTGGCGCTCTCTTTAAGACCTCTACGTAGTGCTCTCCTTAAGACCTCTACGTGGCGCTCGCCTTAAGATGTCTTCGTCGCGCTCTCCTAAAAGACCTCTACGTGGCACTCTCCCTAAGACCTCTACGTGGCGCTCTCCCTAAGACCTCTACGTGGCGCTCGCCTTAAGATGTCTTCGTCGCGCAAACCCTAAGACCTCTACGTGGCGCTCGCCTTAAGATGTCTTCGTCGCGCTCTCAAAAGACCTCTACGTGGCGCTCGCCTTAAGATGTCTTCGTCGCGCTCTCCCTAAGACCTCTACGTGGCGCTCTCCTTAAGACCTCTACGTGGCGCTCTCCTTAAGACCTCTACGTGGCGCTCTCCTTAAGACCTCTACGTGGCGCTCTCCTTAAGACGTCTTCGTCGCGCTCTCCTTAAGACCTCTACATTGCGCTCTCCTTAAGACCTCTACATTGCGCTCTCCTTAAGATCTCTACATCGCGCTCTCCTTAAGGCCTCTACGTTGCTCTCTTTTCAGATTCCTATCATCTGCATCGTAACATTCTCCTTAACTGTTGTTACTGTTGCGTGTTCCTTTATAACACAAGCGATCATAGCTCTTCACAATTTCCTATTCTTTGTATCCCTAAGCAATGTTTATCCTCTTATATTTCCCAGACCTTGTTGTGTCATCCATCTGCACAGTATCTTTTTGTAGATTACTCATTGTTTTCCTCTGCTCTTAACACCTTCACGTGTGCCCTATACACTTTTTCGTCCTTATCTGCCCCCAAAATTTCAACTCTCTGATTCTAAGTACGTTTATCTTTGTTGTCTTCCATTCGGAGCTCGCATCTTAGCCGCCCATATTGTTAGTGACCTTATATTTTGTTTTCATACAATTGATAGTTAGTCTTATCTTCTCGTTTTACTTTACTACCTTGGCTATAATTGTTTCTTTTTTCTTTGTGTCATCTGTGCATCTTGGAGATTGTCCACTAATAATAAATCCTGAGAGGACTTCTACTTCTCTTTGAATCGCCTTGCTGCTTGAAATTTGCTCTTTTTTTTTTTTTTTTTTTTTTTTTTCAATGGCGGTTTTATCTTCAAGAAAAGCCAGATGTCCTAGGAAGCCAATTTTGAGCTAAAATGGCGGCTTCTGACATACTCGTAGTTTGGGGATGCTTTTTTTTTTTTTTTTGCTTAACTTAGCATGAAACATGAAGATTAGATAATTGAAATATTTAAAATGTTAATATTTGCTGTTTGCTTCTAGGGGAACATTTGAAACAAGCCTTAAACAATCTGGAACATTATATCGATTTTCATTTTGTCTTTTCCTTAGTTACTACAAAACAACCAACGAAGAGTACAACTAAACAAAATCTTTCCACAAAGAAAAAGCACAACCTTTCAACAACATTATCAAAGTCTGTTACTACAAAAACTACTACCAAGAAAGTGCCACCAGGTATGATTATATAATTGTGTATTCAGGAAGCAATCCTTGTTTTATACATGTTTCATTAAAGACGACTGGACGTTACTGCGATTAAGCATTTTATTAATTTTTCTTGTATTCGTATAAGTGTTTTCTGGAAATTACGGATAACCAATGCTATGCATTATTTCACATGTTCCTTAAGGTACTGTGTTTCTGATCAAACCACATTCATGAATAATTGTATTGGACATACAACTACAAGCATATCACGAAAACCCACGTTACATCCTCTTTGTGCACAATTAGGATTCATTTAAACATACACGGATATCTAACAAACTTAATCCACAACATACCTGTAAAAAATACAAATATAATAGCCTCATCCACATCTAAAAATATATATATTTTTACAACACGGGCATTAAAGGGCTTGGGATCCACTCGAGGTAGTGTTACATTTGGAGGCCATTTTTGTGTATAGGAATGGAAGATAAGTTTTAAACCCATTTAATTATAGTGATCGGAGAAACATCCTGTTGGGAGTCGTTCCACGGAGCAGTGGTTCGCGGGAATAAGCTATTCGGGTGGAACTTATTTCTCCCCGATGGAATGTGGATGGTTTACTACTATGTAAGTGACATGTCGTGTTCTTGCTGAGAAGGTTTGCCTCGGTGGAGCTAGCGAATGTAGTCCTTCCGGTCACTTTCTGTGGAAGTAATAGTAGATCAACAAGAGACTAGCCACATTCCGTCGGTGGGAGAGAGGTTGAAGGGTAAAGAATAATTCGTCACTCGCAAGGACACTGAGACACTTTTGAACTCTATCAAGGCTGTAGAGTGAGGTCTAGGCAATCCCGTTCAAATATGACAACAGTATGCCATTTTTGTCCTCAAGTGGTAGAGGATATCAGGAGGAGTCGAGTACTTACTGAAGCGGTACAGAGAGCCGATTATTTTACCTACATCCTTAGCAACGGATCGTATGTACGAGTTCCAATTGAGGTCGGGTGTGAGTCTGAAGCCCAACAGTCTTTCAATGCACGGTGTTTCTCCGAAAGAACCTCCGTTCATCTTGATTGGTGGTAGTTCGGGGTCAGATCTGTGATGATAGAATGTAACTAGCTTGGTCTTCGAGGCATTGAATGTAACCAACCAGTTTTTACCCCATTGGGTAGTTTGTGCCAGATCGGAAGAGAGTTCAGTCACCAATCTCTAACCATCGAGAGTTTTAGAAGTGCGCCCGTATATAGTCCTATCATCGGCATAGATATTTACAAATGATCTGAGTATAGGCAGATCATTTATGTAGATCAAAAGGCGGGTTGCATTGACCACCAGGGCTCCTTGGGACTGGCCATTGATAATTACATTCAGGGACCTATCGGTTAGGGAAGGATTTTCTGATCGAGAGGACACTTCCACTGATTCCATAAATGAATGTGTAGTAAGCCTTTGTGCCACACCTTGTCGAGGGCCTTTGATATATCTAGTGCTATGGTCCTCGAGGTGTGTTTGTCGTCAAGAGCCTCACTGATTCTATGAGTATGGTAGTTAGGACGTCGGCAGTGGATCGGGCCGACCGAAACACATACTGTTCATCGCTGAAGAGGTTGTTCTTTTCTACGTGCTCGACGACCTTTTTATTGATTATGGCCTCAAAGAGCTTGTTGATGATACTAGGGAGACTGATGGTTCTGTGCTGGGAGCGGCAAGATCCCACATCCGCGGTCGTGAAAACCGTGCATACACTTGACACTTTCCACGGATTTGGGAAGAATTTCTCTTTCAAGCAGCGGTTAAATAACTTTGCTAGGATTGGGAATAATTCCGGATTAATATTCTTAAAAACAACCACCGGAATTCTCAGGACAAGTGGCTTTCTTAGGATCAAGGCATTTGGTAAGTCTAGAGAACTCGCGTGCTGTCACGGTAATATGACTGAGATTGTGGGAACTTGGTGCGGGGATGGCTTTTGTCAAGAGCTCCACTGATTCTGATGGTTGTTAGGACGTCGACAGTGGATCGGGCCGACTGAAACCCGTACTGCTCCTCGCTTAAAAGTTTGTTCTTGATGCTTGACGACTTTTTTTTTTTATTGATTATGGCTTCCAAAAGCTGGCTGATGATAGTGAGGAGACTGATGGGTCTGAACTTGGAGGGGGAAAATCGCACGCCCATCATGAAAATTGGGTATGGATTTGATACTTTCCACAGGCTTGGGAAGGATTTCTCCTTCAAGCAGCGGTTAATTCTGGGTTTATGTTTTTAAGGACAGCTACTAGAATTTTGTCTGGACCAGTACCTTTCCCAGGGTCAATTTAAATAATCCTAGAGACTTCACGTGGTAATATTATTGAGATTGTGCTCAGTGAGATTGTGCTGGACTTGGGGAGGGGATGCTCTTTGTCATCTAATGTTGAGTTAGAGGTACAGGTGGAGGCGAAGAGGTTCGCCCTATCTGACAAGGATGGAACCATTAATAATAAAAAGAAAAAGATAACACTCGATAACCTCGACTATGAACACGGCCACAATGTGCTGATTGTGTTTGGAAAAAAAAACATTCCATCACTCTCTCTATATATATATATATATATATATATATATATATATATATATCTAAACATTCAGCTAAAAAATTAAAAAATCATCCACGATAATCACTCATAGAATAGCCGGGAAAGCGCTCGTACACTTTTACAAACTTTATGTCAGAAAAAAGAAAACACTTATACGAATACAAGAAAAGTTGAATAAAAAGCTTTTCATTCGTGTTTTAGTTAAAGTTATATATATATATATATATATATATATATATATATATATATATATATATATATATATATATATATATATAATATTTAGGGCACCTCGAGGCGTTGTAATGGTTACCAAGCTTTTTCTTGCTAGGACACTTACGACTGACTTACGAGTTCGATCCTCACTGGGTTCCCCATACTTTCGGCTACGCTTGGAAAATAACTATATACACAAAATTTCGTTAAAAACGACTGAAACGGTACTGCAGTTAAGGGTTTGTTTTTTATTTATTTACTTGTTGGCCGTCGGGTCATGTAATTTAATAATCGTTATCTTGGCAGCAATCCGTCTTTTATACCAAACTTAAAAACGACTGATAAGAAGCTGCGGTTAACTTTTAATAATATGCATGCTGAATGAAAAGTAACTCCCTATTTTATGTATGATGGACTCTCCCGTCTTATAAAAAAATTATAATTAGAGTGGAGAGTCCATCATAAAATATTGAGTTACTTATCACTCGCCCTTTATATATATATATATATATATATATATATATATATGTGTGTATACGTTTCGTTAAAACCCACTAACAAGTACGCCAGGATATATTGCATTCATTCATTTTTATTTTATTTTTTTTCATTTATAAGTAATATTTTCGTTTGATTTATTTCTTGTTCTTGCTTCAGCAGTCACGTCATCAAAGTCGCTGTGGGGAAAACCCACCACGTCAGTTCCATCTTTGACGAACAAAGCCATCACGTCAACACCATCGGTGATGATCAAAACAAGTACACGAAAGGGTCCCAAAGTTTGTGGAAATGACAGCTTCTTGTGTCCTACGGCACCTCATTTGTGTTTCCCATCCGCTTTCCTATGCGATGGCTACGCGGACTGTCCCGACAAATATGATGAAGAACATTGCAGTGAGTATATTTACTTACTTACACACAACTGAGAAGTTATGCACAGGGTGCGATGGATAAATTATCGTCTAAATGACGCAAACATGAAAATAACATTGACATCTCATTTTGTTAGATATATTTACCAAAATTACACAAAAATATCTTGAAATACCAAAGAGTAAACTCATTTAATGAAATCGCCATTGTCTTCAAACACGGTCTCCAGACGACTTCGAGATCTCCAGCAACTCTTCTGGACGGTCTCCTTATTTAAGTTGGTGAATGCTGCTATAATCCTTGGTGTTATAAGGAGTTTTGTTGGTTTCTTGCACAACTACACCCGACACACAATAATCAAGGGGGTTGCTGTCTGGGTAGTTAGGTGGCCAGATTTACGAGGTAAAGTGGTCACAGAAATTGTCTGACAGCCATGACTTGGTTCTTCTGCTTGTGTGACATGGTGCAGTGTCCTGTTGCCAGACACAGGGTCTTCCAATAGCCACCGTCTTGACAGGGCAGTTCTACCTTCTCAAGGCACTTGATGCAGGCCTCAGTGTTGAGTGTAAGGCCCTCACCAACAAATTCGGGAGTTATTTTTTTTATCAGAACGATCAAAGTTAGATTTCCGAGCTGCCGTACCTTCGTAATCACCATTAAACTCATCCAACTCTTTCCGAATCCTCTGCACAGATTGACACCTAAACACTCTGAAATGTTCGTATTTTAGCTTCGGCGCGAATGCCAATCAGTACAGCATGCCGTTTCCAAATTTCTGGCGAAGTGAATTGCGTTATTGTTGTTTTTTTCTCAAAGACGATGTTCAGCTGACCGTACTATACTGTGCAGTCGAAAATCAAAAACAACGTCTATGCAACGAAATTAAAAATATAAAATGGCAAAATTTCCTATTGCATCTTGTTTGTTTGTTTTGTATATATATATATATATATATATATATATATATATATATATATATATATATATACTCATTTCAAGAAGGTAATTCAAGAAAGTAATTCAGATTACCAACACACAAACAGAAAATGTCTCATATCGAGAATATTTAACATTGAACATGAGGAAAAATTAATTATTTTTTAATAATATGTGGAAATCTCCACTTTTATCTGAAGACGGTCGCGAGACCAGAAACACGTGTCGTAAAATTATGTAAAAAAACAAAGCATAATATTTTCTAAATAAATCACATTACAACCAAAAAACGTTAGCGGCACCTCTCTTCTGTTCTTTTTTAATATACATACTTTTCTCTCGTTGGAACCACTACATTATATTTCTTTTATATATATATATATATATATATATATATATATATATATATATATATATATATATATATATGTGTGTGTGTGTGTTTGTGTGTGCTTGGTTTTTGAAAAAGGAATAAGTCACAAGTAGGGTAAGATCTGAAGAATATGGTGGTTGTCGGACCTGGGAAATGTTGTTTGACCAAAAACTACTGCAAAAGCCATGGTCACTGATGGAACCTCTGTGATGTAGTGAGACGACCACACTCTAAACACGCGTAATGAAAACTGCAATTCAAATTCGGCTCTCTGATTCCTCAATCCGAACCGCTAAGCATTACTCCACCGTGAATAATAATAATTATTATTATAATTATTATTATTTAATTATAATAGTAATAATAATTATTATTATTTAATTATAATAATAATTATTATTATTTAATTATAATTATTATTATTTAATTATAATTATCATTATTTGCGAGAAGGACAACTCTGAATTTAAAACCGCGAAGAAAATATCTTTGTTAAGAAATCATAGCAATTCACAGATATTAAAGAAAAGGAATTTAGAGAACTGTGATTGTCAATATCCTGAATGAACATGGTATTTAAAAAGTATGAATGAAATATATTAAATCGTACTCGTTCGGACATTCATGAACTTATCACGCTAACCATCATGGTTCTGCATCAAGGTCATTCGGGTTGCATCCTGTGTCCTTACATAGTTGGTCAATGTAGGTGGTTGCTCGGTGACCAACCCGACTTGCGCCATGGCTAGGTGTCCAGAGCAGTAGATCACTCTCAAGTTCATTTTGCTCACCAGCAGTGTCGTCCAAAGCGTATCCTGCGTTCGCTCTAGATTGTAGAAATATCAGGGATGAGTCCATAGAGCTACGATTCAGTTGGATTTCGTCTACAAGAGATGTTAAGTATAGCTCTCAGCATCACAGTTCTATCAAGAGTAGACTCAAGGGTTTTACTTAATGTCCAAGCAGCGGAACCATTACATTAAATCCGACTCTACAGGGGCGCGAAAGACGATCCGCTTGAGGTTGTCTGGTATTTTCCTTAAATATTCTTGTCCAAATTATGCAATTTATCAATTTGAATTTTATCTATTTCTGTTTTATCAGCGACTTGTCCTAAAGGTCAGACCTACTGCGTCCCAAAACAAAAGTGTATCTCCTCTCATCGCTGTGATAACAATATCGAATGTCCAGATGGTTCAGACGAATCTGCTTGCAAAGGTCAGTCTGGAGTGAATTCCACTATATCATTTTTTTTTACCTCTAAGCTTCGATATTTTTTCATATTAATTGACAATTTACGGAACCTGAGGAGAGTATATAGTTCGGTCTGTAGGTTTATTAAATTCATTCAAATTATAAACGTCATATTATTTAAATCCAGATATCAGGATCTGTGAAAATTTCACAGCTGTTGACAACCAATATTAGCCATTATATGATGCCTCAGCTTTTCTCTAGTCTTTTGTAGTTTCTCATTCTCTCTCTCTTATCCATTCCAAAAACAACAAAAATTATCCATTGTATAATGCCTCAGACATTCACCCTTCACCTCTATTTTTTTTCATTGTCACATGTATCTTATCCCAGCTTTGTTGATCATCTGTTTTTTATATACTTGTTAAGCTACAAGCATGACGAGTTTTATACGTTAAAACGAATCATAAATTTACAAATATCTTCTCCATCCTCTCGTTTTATCTTTGGTGTCCTCAAGAATTTCAATAGATTGCATTTTGACGCCTGCTTTTCCATTGCTACCTGTGTATTTTTCTTTCATTACTACCTTTTCTGATGTTTTTATCATCTTTCGCTAGTTGTCTTTTGTTATTCAGTCATCAACGCTGTTTCTCTCTCACACACACACACACACACACACACACACACACACACACACACACACATAAAGGGTGTTTCATTAAGACGGATCAAAATCAGCAGTAAATAAATCAGTGTTATTGGTGGAAATTTGTTTATTTCTCTATTGGATCATGTTATTTAAGTCATGGCAATTATATGTGAAAAATAATATCGCCCAAACATCCGCCAAGGCTTATACGGCACATCTCCACTCGATGGTCGAAATCTTTGATGACGTCTCTGCATAGTTGCTCCTCAATCTCACCAATATGCCTTATTATCTCATCCTCTAGTTGTTGAATTGTTGTTGGCTTGTTGGCATAGACCTTACTTTTGGGATGACACCAAAGGAAGAAATCTAAAGGCGTCAAGTCGCACGATCGTGGTGACCAATTGACTTCACTGTTTCGAGAGATGATGCGACCAGGGAACTTCCCATTGCATTTTTGTTTGGACGTCCATTTTCGTAATAGGTTTCGATAACAAGTTGTTTGATTGTTAATCTTTCCATGGTTGAAATTGCCAAAGAAAAATCTAAAAGAAAAAGAATATTAGACGCTTAAAATTAATTCTCATTTAAAAACTGTCCAAGTTATTGGAACACCCTTATATATATATATATATATATATATATATATATATTCAAACATCATTTTAGTGGACACTTATTTAAAATAGACGTCCCATTTTTATTTATTAAACAGTGTATAGTACGTCTGTTGGCCTACGCCTTCGAGAAATCTAAGTAAAGAAAATTCCGTGGAACACATTTTCTTCATTAGATTTCAAATATGAAGTGTCCGGCAATCTCCGACCTTTGTGCCTGCAATAAAACAATGTGCCAAAATGATTTTTTTTTTCTTGACACCGCTATTTTTAACTATTTCACTTCTATATGCCAAAGCATATAAAATTGAATTTATACGTTTTCTTTGTTCTTGAGAATTTTCAACAAAAAATATTAAACGCTATTTATTTATTATATTGCTTATTGGAATGGTTGGCAAAACGTTGGCTAATTGCCAATCGATTCGACTTTGGTCAATGATAGGAATTTCCTTATAATTAGTTAATATATTTTTATAATTTACTAAATGTTTGTAAATTTATGAATAAAAAATGTTTTCATATTTATTTCTTTATAAACTGGTAAATGATAAATATTGCATAAGTTTTATTCTATGAGTTTCTACAATGTTGTAAATATAAAATTATTCTTGTAAACAAGCAATATAATAAATGGTTTAATATTTTTGTTAGTGTTATAAAATACAATAAGACATATCTCGACTGATTTACAGGCAAATACTCAAGAGTGAGAACCGGATGTGAACGCGACAAAGCCCCGTCACAAAATGACCATTAACTTTCTTTACAAATGTTTCCGACACACGTGTTCGGTCGAAAAATAAAATAATAATTAAAGTGCTCTATTTTCGTCCAATAAAATGCTTCCCCTAATTATACTCGCTTTCGTTTTTCGAGCCTGTTAAGCCATAAAAACGCTATAAAAGGGTCACACGAAAGTTCAACAGGCAGTTCACAGGTGGCCAGGGTAGAGACCTGTCACGGTCAGCAGCTGACAGCAGGGGAGCATCAACCACCGTCAACATGTGTGAACTACTATGAGAGATCGACCTAGATCCGAAGCCGGCTTATGAACTGTACCACAAGATAGCTGTCCCAAACCCACACGTTCCTGTTGAAATAAACCACGTAAATCTATTTCTGCTGTTGTCGTATTTCTTTCTTGCAACCATACGCTTGTCTATAACAGTGTGGACTATATACTAAATGTTCTCTTCTTGTTGTCGTATTTCTCAAGAACAAAATATATATATATATATATATATATATATATATATATATAGATATATATTCAATGTTATTTGTTTTAAGTTTTATTTCAATTCTAACCATCGCTTTTAAAAACAAACACTGCTGATGAATGAAAGTAGTTAAAAATAGTCAAGTAAATAGTTTCCTTTTGAAATAGTATTTTTTGTTTTGTATTTTTTTGTTAGTCTGAAGATCCAAGTGTTCACTATAACAATGTTTGAAGTAATAGAAATGTTAGATTAAAAATAAATGCATTATTTCTTTAGAAATTATATATATATATATATATATATGCAGCATGTTTCATTGAACAGTCTAGACGTATTATGTCTATTTTTATTTTGATCCTCTCATGTTCGGGTATCTATTTGTTAGTGTCTGTATAAAATTGAGAAAGGCAGTGTCATTTTCCTCATTCCTCTTATTTTTTCCAAGTACTTTCAATCTCATCCAAGATCATCTTCCGGCGGTGAATTGCTAAGACAAAATTAATGTAAGCATTACTATTATGTAAGGGAGGTAATTTAATTTATAAAAACTGTAAATACGTGTTTTAAAATATTGTTTTAATTGTAGTTTTAAACAATTACAATTCAGATATTTTAAAAACTTGCTGTAATTGAACATTTTAGAACGTTGTTTCTATATTCATAATTGATTTTATTTTTGACAGTATTTTTTATATAAAGGGCTTCCAGAATTTGGAATATTGCTTTCAATATGTCCGGAGTGTCAAATTTTGTCTTTGTCTTATCTCTGAAACCTTACTCCGCCATCTATTTACGCGAGCTCGCTACGTGGATTATTTTTTTTTTTTCTTTTTACCTTCAATCTGTCCTGTGAGGATTTCAAATTTTTAAGCCCTCTTTCCTCATTATGTGCCCTACAAATTTCAACTGTCTCTTCCTGGTGTTAAGTATAACTTTCATTTTTTTTTTTTTCCATTTGTTGTAAAATTTTGTTGTTGCTCATATTTTCGGTTCATGGTATTCTCAGCATCCTTCTGTAAAACCACATTTCTTTTGCTTCAAGTCTTTTCTTCGTCTATGAGGAGATTGTCCAACATTTCCTGTCATATGAGAGGACTGATATATTAAATAACATTTCAGTACTCTTTTCTTTGTTTCTAATGATGTTTTTCCTGTTTTTTATACTTTGCTTAGCTTTTGTAAGGCATCTTTCGCTCTCCCATTTGTGAGGAGATTGACTATATAATTATCAGTTAGCGATTCAGGAATAACTATTCCTCATTGTCACTAAAACACATTCAATGTCATTATTTTTTTTTTTTTTTTTTGCTGCAGAATGTTTCGATGGTTTTTGTGCTAATGGAGGAACTTGTACAATGGAAAACGGATCACCGAAATGTCTGTAAGTAGTTGTATTTTCTTATCTATTTGTTTTTGTTAATATGAATATGAATCAGATCTGGTCAGAGCCAGAATTCAGCATACACATAGCTGAACGTGAAGAGAGACAAGAATACACCCGTGTAATCCTGAATGTACGCATAAGCTGAACATGTAGTCCGATAAAATAAAATGTAAAATAAAAGAATCTGTGGCATATATATATATATATATATATATATATATATAACAAAAATAATACATTTCTTACAGCTACTTTCTCCCGCACGCTAATGTATAGTACTTTATATACTGTACACCGCTCTTTGTTTACAATTGAAAGGCCTGCCACCGCCGCCAAGCGGTCACTTTCAGAACTAACACGTCTCGTTCCGCTAAGCCTGCAAATTTTAAAATACAGTGTAACCCGGATATAAGAGAGTTGTCGGGACCTGAGAAGAAGTCTCTTATATCCGGGTTTGGTCTCTTTTATATACATTAACACAGGCTATAATTTGGGACCAGAGAAAATCTCTCTTATATCCGGGTTTCTCTTATATCCGGGTCACACTGTACATCACTGACGATTTGGAAGTTTGTTTTTGTTTAGTTTTTTTGCAGGTTTTTTTTTTTTTTTTTAGATTTGCCTGCAGATTTTGTCCGTGGATTGGCGGGGTCTGTAGATGTGAGGTTTGTCGGTACGGTTTCAAATGCTCCTTATGAGACAAGCTTTATAGTATTTTTTTTTTTTTTTTTTTTTTTTAAAAAAAAAAAAAACTCTCAATCTTCTAAATCCGGGTCTATCGATGTAATTGCGTAGTGACGGTTTAAATCGCGGATACAGTTAGAGGCGAGCTCTTGTAATTAAAGGGGAGAACTGGTAGATTAGCGTGAACTGGCCGAGACAGAAATGCGAGATGCTGGTGACAAATTTGAACAACGTCATCGAACAGTGAGTATGTATTACGGAATTGTGTCGCTATTCTTTGTGAGCAGTACCATTACCACTTGTAATGTCTTCAGAATACCTGTTTCGTGATTGACTACTTCAATAATTAATCTGTCTGTGCCATTCTGCATATTTTAGCTCTGTTACTATAGCAACTATCCCGATACTTTTTATCCGACCTCATACAGGATTAAAGAATATTTTTTTACCGTTTCTACTGTTATGACCAAAATGGAAATTAGAAAATTAAAAATAATCCCCAAACAATATAGTTTACTAAAAAATTAAAACCGAACTGTAGTGCTCTTAGATGTTAAGGGCATCTCAATTAGTGGCAATAACTAACCAGCTAGTCTAGCTCACCATTACTAATATGTAGTGAGTTCTATACTTACCTGATGCCCCCACACATGGTCTTACGAAGCTCAGTAAATTAACTTTTACGTAACTGGAGTGCATGAGGGTTACGTTAGTCTAAGGGGAATAACTCTGTTGGGAAAAGTATTAAAAATAGATCAGGTCCGTTTTATTTAAATTAAGATATAATAGTTATTGATAAAATTTCAGTCTTTAGGTACAGTGATTGATTTTAATTTGAAACAATGTAGACATTTACTGTTATTTAGTTTTTCTTTTCGCTGTGAAATGTTTTTATTTTTATGATTATTTTTCTTACTTTTCTTTTCCCTTGTTTATATATAGTTTTTACTTTTTTGTTTTTTTTGTTATTTCTTTTTCATTTTTTTCCCTGTAATTTCTATAGATAATAGCTTTTCTACCAAAATGGGTGGGGTGGTGGAAGACAAAAGAATTATTTTTATGTTTGGAAATTCAAATACTGATTTTTTTGTGCAGTGAGTTAAGCTTAAGAGCATGTGATTTCTGGTATAAAATTTTACAAGAAAATTTTAATTTCTTTCAGGTGCAAAGATAAAAATGTCAACTTTAGATGCCTTGTTGTGAAAAGTTCTGCCGAGAAATCTAAAAATAAAAGTAAGTTAATATCACCGAGAATCAAAAAACAAATCACATTAGGTTTGTGCAGAAGTTCCCAACAACACTCCTTTTATATATATATATATATATATATATATATATATAATAAACATAGTTTGTTTTTTGGGGGGTTAGGGGGGTAGGGAGAATGAAGAGGGAGCATATTTTTTAATAAAAATAAAATGCTGGAAATCTCTGCATATACCTCATAAATTTAATTAATATAGATGACTGCACATTTTGACACTTAACCATAAATTCTATTTTATTTTCAACTCCCTACAATCATTAATTCTACAATCATTATGCAAATAGAAATTCAAATATTATTACATGTCATATTACATTATCAGCAAAATTTAAACAAAAACGGAAGCCATCTTCAGTAAATATTTTTGGATGATGGCCGCACAATGATCTAATTGCTGAAACAGCCTAACATACAAACAATGACATGCAATGAAAGGAAAAGAGTGTTAAAAGCTGGCCAATGGATAATTTTTCCGGTCTATATTGAGAAGCCTAATAAAGAAATTAAAATGAAAAAAATGCAAATCAAAAATAATAATTGACACTACTTAAGAAACTGGAATAATTTGGTATTACATATAATTATAGATTATTGTATATCAGCTATTATTATCTTATTATGGATTCAATATTATGTAAGTTATTTTATTATTGTAAGTTTTATTATTACAGATTTTTTATTGTATACTAATTATTATAGATTCGTTATTGTATACAGGTTATATTATTTTATCATAGATTCAATATTGTATACAAGTTATTATTATAAATTCAGTATTATTGTAAGTGAGTTATTTTATCATTGTGAGTTATATTATTTTAGTTTTATAGATTTATTATTGTATACCAGTTATATTTTATTATTATAGATTCAATATTGTATACAATTTAATATAACTTGTATATAATATTGAATCTGTAGAGAACAGGGGGGGGGTGAAGATGAGATAAAAAAAATATGCATTTCAATTTCCTGCTAGAAAAAGGTTCGGATACAAGAGAAATGTTGGACTCTAGTTGTGTCCAACCGAAGATGAAAGAAGACAAACAAGACATTATATATATATATATATATATATATAAACAAAATAATAGTATTAACAACACATTACAAAGCACATAGTTAACATTTGTTTTTGTGTGAACATTTGTGTTTGTTCTTTACTGAATGTTTGTATTTTGGTGAATGTTAGTACGTACGTGTTTGTAATGTTCATAGCATCTTCCCAGACATGGGAAACACTGTCTTTTGTGAGAGCTCACATAGTAGCGGTGTTTGCTGAAATGAAGAAAGAAGAAAAAGAATTACCTCACCTCCATGTGAGGTGGGATGCAGCACAAGGCCTGAGGGGAAAAAAAAGAATGAGGCAAGTGGTCAACCAGTATTTATAGTACAGGGATAATGACCCCTGGTGACAATTTGGGAATTAAGGAGGAGTTAACTCCGACAGATCTATAATAATAAAATATTTTATTATTATAGAGTCAATATTGTACAAGTTATGTTATTATTATACACTAGCAGCATGGTCTGGCGTTGCCCGTGCTTGATTCAATATGACTCATACAGCAATCGTATCACTTGACTTAAAATATTTTTGCCCATCCTTGCCTTTAAAGGAGTGCCCTTTTCCATGCTGATGTTGCTACATGCCTTAATTCTTGCCTATCTCACACTGCCAATTTTTTCGAAGCTCTATACTAAACATTAAATCTGTTACGAAAAAAGAACTAAACAAAATGAACACAAAACGATCAGCTTTAAAAAAGAACTCGTAACTGGAAAAATCGAAAGAAAAATGAATGTTAACAACAAATACTTTTTCACACCCAACCCAATTCTGCGGAATCAGAATCAACGTTGAGTTTAAGCAACTGAATGAGCCAATTGGAGTAAAGTGCCATGCAGATTTAAATTTTTACAAAATGGCCGCAAACTACATGAAAACTGCCGTAGAAGCATGAAAAAATCGATTATTTCCACTATTGATGGAAGTTGGGAAATGCAAAGTTGGTCTTGGCCTTCCTGCTAACTTGGAGCATGTGCATGTAAATTTTGGTGCAAATCCGTCGAAAATTGCAGCCATGCATTCGTTACACACACATACACATCCTGCCTTTTATAGATAGATTCAAAAGGCTCGAGAACAACACTTTATTAACTTTACCAAGTTTTAGAAATTCACAGATGATTAAAGTAAAAGAAAGCTGTGGAGAGTCATAATCACCTATGTCCTGAAAGGATATGACATTAAGAAAGACCAAAACTAATAGCAAATTTTTATACTTCCATGCTATCTTCTTTTTTTTTTCTATTTAGTTTTGTCTTACCAATTATATCCTTTTATTACAGCCCCCACCTACTACTTAAAGGTTTTTTATAAATATATGCTGACCTCATTGACATATATTTTGAAAACAAATTGTATTAATGGTACCAACTTATTTACCCTCTCCCTGCAAAAAAAAGAGAAAAAAAAACTAAGTATTTGCACAAAATCTTTAATTCTACCAATGTATTATGTGCAAGTGAGTACACAACATATCAGCAAGTCTATGAAATGCTCCAGTTAGTGCATACAGAACATTCGGGAACAGTTGATAAGTTGGGTTTGGTCAAAATTTAATTTATTCTGCAACAAGTTCAATGTAGCTGAAATACAGTTTCATACCTCTGTGCACAATGGCAGCTGCATTACCTTAGTGGAACAAATTAAAACCATCAGTAGGATGGGGAAACGTAGCAAGCATAAATGGAAGCAAATGCTCTACAATAAGATCTGTAAATGTCATGATAGACTCTTTTGAACTGCAGTTGAACACTCCCACCACTACTTTGTAGAACATCCTGCTGACAGGCTGCATCCATTGTCTCATGTAGTCTCCTCAAACTTGACTGTCTGACTGAAGAGCTAGAAACATTGACTTTAATCAGTCTTTTACAGTCTCAGGGTAATGTTCTCTGATTCAGGTGAAGCATAGTAATAAATGATATGCTGTCTAGTATCCTTGTTAGTCAACAACTAAAATATCTCTTGGGATGCAGCATATACTGTACAACAGTAGGGTTTCCTGGAGTAGGTTGCCATTTCTTTCTACCATCCAAGGCTATAGAACCTGGTCTGTCCTGCTATTTACCCATAGCTGGAGGGAGAAGAGGATTCATGCCTTTCCAAAGAGTATTAGCTCATAAGTGGATGTAATGGATTCAAGTGGAATTCGAACTCAGCTCTCCAATTCCTCAATCCAAGCCACTATCCATTACTCCACAATGTCTCCTTCTTTAGGAAATAAACAAACAGTAAAATGTCTGTTGTACATTAAACATGTATATAAGATCAGGTGAATATATTTTGAATCCAAAATGTATATTTTATTCCCTTTGATATATTTTACTTATCTTTGTTTTGCTAAGAAAATTACATGAAATACTAACTTCAGGTGAGTGACTACAAAGAGTGATAAAATTTTAAGTATTTATTTTTTTTTGTATCTCTCTTTCTCTCTCTTTTCATAAACAGAAGTATGGGTAATCCCTCTGGGCATCATTATGGCTTTGGTTATCACAGCAGTCGTTTTCAGTGGCATTTACTTTTTCTGGATTAGAAAAACTAAGTAAGTAAATAAAATTTTCCAAGCTAACAAATATATATATATATATATATATATATATATATATATAAATAAACACACACACATTAAAAATAAGAGTATTTACCAGTTATATGACCTAGATTTCAACCATAGGGTTTCTTCAGTTGGTATAAGCAAATTATGCTTTATAATATAGAAATATATATATATATATATATATATAATTTCCAAGATGATAAAATACAGACAGAGCTCAATGTCCAGGACAGAGCAAGAATATAATATAAAAGGCTCAAACATTAATATCCAATGGTCATAATTTATTACATTGGAACCATACTCAAGATCCAATTCATCAGACCTACAAATTCAAAAAGAAATCGGAAATATATATATATATATATATATATATATATATATATATATATATACATATATAAATATTTAATTTTTTTTTTAATTATAGCTGAGTTTGCTTATGTAGCAAATTCTCAGGTTTGAGCCTTACTTTATACTAAAAATATAAGCCTAATGAGAATTACAAATTTCTCTTATTAATGCTTAATAAAGCTTAATTAACAATTAGTTTTGCTTTATGCTAATATAAAAAAAGTGTATCAACCAAATTGTTACTTTTAAATCCATTTTCTATGTACCAAGTTGTTTTTTTAAATATCCTTTATTATTTTTCTCAGTAAAATATTCTTTTTTTCCCAAAGAAAATATTTTTACTGAGAATTATCTTGAATTTTATTAATTTTAATTTTACTTGCTTTTTAATGAAACTTTACAAATAATCAGGCTATTAATAACAATTTAAAGAAATACTAGTAAATAATTAATAATGGCTGATGCAAATGGAAGTATATGCATGTTTTATAGACTATGCAAAAGTATTTGATAAAGTATGTCACAAAGAACTGTTTGAACTACTAGGTAAGCTTGATTTATTTAGGAAGGACAGTAAAACAATCCACAATTTATACAACTTTATATGAATAAGAAAATCTTTCTCATCAGAATCCATCTTGCTCATTTATGTGGTCAAAAAAAATTAGCAACTCTGTTTTGTGAAGCAAATTCAGATTGGACATTTCTTCTCTCTACACCAGTTTCTTGGTGTTTTTCATTGTTCTCTTCCTTGTATCCATTTTCTTGTTCATTCATCCTGTCACAACTGTACATACAGTATGATCTATCCCAACAGAGACATCTCTCATCTCTGTGATGGTCTACTTATAATGGGGAATCACCAATCACTCGCCCACATGCTAGACATACAAGCACCTCAGAATAAAGCACTAACACACCTGGATGTCCCTCCTCAGTTCCATCCAACCATGCTAATATTATACACAGTTGGTAATGAACCAATTTTTTTGTGGGACAACAAAGAAGGGTCTCTTTTGACAGAATGACGTACTCACCTTCTCTCAAATCAAAGTCCTACATTCCAGACAAAGACAAACTCTCTTTTGTCAAGAATAACGCAAGTCCTGTTCACCATTTCTGCCATTTGATTCCAGTTCTGGTTCAATATGTCTGCTACATATAAATCTACCATTTGTCCATGCATGGAATACTGTCGCCATATCTGGTCTTGTGTTCTTTTTATACATCTCGAGATTCTTGACAAAATGCAAAGAAGGGTCTGTAATGTCATCAATCCTGACCAGGGATCTTGACTTCAGTCACTTTCTCACTGACATGAGATGCTTTCCCTGTGTCTTTTCTACAAATATTTTCATGGCAGCTGTTCTGATGAGCCTTTTTCCACCGGTGTCTCAAGTACATCAATTTAACTGTGCGGCTAGATTGGCCACTTGGTCTTGCCATTTCACTGTAGAACAAGCTAGATGCAACCATCACTTCTATTCTAACAGTTTCTTTTCTTGCACTTCTCACCTGTGGAAGTCCCTTTCAATTTCTTGCTTCCCTGATAACTACAATCATCAAAAATTTTAATGCAATGTCAATCGCGATCTTTTGTTTTCTTGAACCCTGTTCATTTTTCATCCTTTCCTCAGTCCTCTGCACTAAAGTTTTTTCATTCTCTTTCACTTTCACTCCCTGCAACACCCTGCATTCTAGTGGTATTATCACCTTGCTGTAGTGAAACAGAAAAAAATGTCATTATTTATGCAAAAGAGCATGAAAATAGAACAAAATAATGGAGTCTTTTTTTCTTTTTTTTGTTACACTATTGACTTATTTTGAGCTCTTTCATGTTTAGAGCAAGAAATACCAATTTTTAAAATGCCAGATTGAATTTTTTTCAAAATATATTTCAATTACAACTATGGCCTTTTTTTTTTTACTCTATTGACTTTTTTTAGCTCTTTCATGTTTAGAGGAAGATATATCAATTTTTAAAGTACTACATTGAATTTTTTTCAAGAAAAATATTTCGGTTACAACTATGACATTTTTTTCTTTTTTTTTTTTAAAGATAACTTTGTCTTCAATATAAAGTCCATCTTATACAGCAAACATTATGATAAGTAAAATTTTATTTGGTAAAAAATATTGGGTAATACTAAAATAGAATATTAGACATTTGGCCTGATGAAGTCCTTTAAAAAGATGAAACATTTGTTGCTGGTACTACTTCTACTTAACTAAAAGCAGTAGCAGAAATATTTTGTACATGTAAATGATGGGTGTAACAAGGCAATATTTTTCCTGTAATATTTCATTAGAAACAGAGAGAACTGAACTGTTATGTAATATCAATCCTTCTATATGACGGGGAAATGCTGGACAATGTCCTCACACATAAAGGAAAGACTTGAGGTAACAGAAATGCGGTCCTACAGAAGGATGTTGAGAATACCTTGGATGGAGCATATTAGAAATAATTAAATTTTAGAGAAAATGGCAACAAAATAGATGTATTTAGAATCGGAAAAGAGTTGAAATTTCTAGAGCACATAATGAGGAAAGAGATCTTGGAAGATTTGACACTCAGAGGACATATTGAAGGCAAGAGAGACAGAAGAAAACAAGACATAACCTACCAAATGAGATTGTATAAATGGCTGGCAGAACAAGGTTTGGGAGAGATTTACTAGGAGTTTTTTTTTTTTTTTTTTTAAGCATATCACCCCAAGCAAGGCGGGAGTTCCACTAACATGCAAGGGGTTACAGAGAGTGAGAGCAGGAGTAATGATGGTGTTTGAGGAAAGGATATAGAGAAGGACGGGGGATCAGGATCAAGGCATCAGAAGATGTTGATTGACATTACATTTGAATATTTAAAGATTATAACTATCGAGGAAGCAAGTAAGAGGAAGGGAGTTTCACTGACAGGAAGTGTGAGATAAGAAGCTGTTAAAGTAGAAGAGACAGCTACATTTAACTGTTTTGACAGTGAAAGAGTGGAACCGAGATGCCAACCTAGTAGCATGCTTAAATTCATGCAGTTTGGGAACCAGTGAAAGTAGCTTGTCAGAGCAGTTGCCATGAAAATACTTGTAGAAAAGACAGAGGGAAGCTACAGGATGTCTACTGTGGAGAGCCATAATCACCGGTATCCGGAAGGAACACAGCACATAGAAGAAGATATTTCTGAGTAACAAGAGAGAGAATACATTACATATGGAAAAGAATGACATTCCAAGTTAGGAATTATATAGGTGATGTGGAGAAGTTCAGTTACTTGAAGAAAGATATCTCCTTGCTCAGAAACAAGGTCATGGTGGTGTTGTCACTAAAACATACTGGTGTGGGGGGGGAGGTAATGAACTAAATTTGGAAGCATCTCATTTTTATAGGAGCTTCACAGTGCCACCTAATGACTTCTTGGCAAGATTGGTGAAGCTATGTGGAGGTAACTCACACATTAAATAGAATTCTTTCCATTTTGTCATTCAGTTACCCACCATTAGTTTAATATGTAGATTTAATATATCATATTTTTCACAGAAATACTTGCCCAAAATTAATAATGACTAATCCTAAAATTAAGCAATCCAACATTCTTGAGTCCTAAAACAGAAAAATATACAAATTGTTCATAGACTTATTTGTACACAGAATAACACACTTATCATCTGTGCAATTCGCTTTGATTTCTTGCTTTTTTGCTACCTACAATCTTCTGTATTCCTGAAACTTGTTCTCTTATTGTCCTTTTTTTCCTTGTTAAAATCTTCTCATTCTCTTCCACTCCCAGTAATCTTAGTGGCATTATCACCTTACTTGGGGAAAATGATTTTAAAAAATCCTTCTGTCTCATCTGAAAATCAGAAAAAAAATAACAGTGAATGAAAAAAAAAAATTTTCTATCTTTAAAAGTCACTACTGATATTACATTTGTTTTTACAGAACATTTTCTCCAGAAAGAGTTGACGGAGGAATTACTAATCCTGCCTATGACTATGGCACTAACCTCCCAACTGAAGTAAGTCAGAAGTTTTTGATTTATTCTTTTAGTAATGTATTTTAGCATCATTTAAGGAATACTAACAATATGAATAAAATATGGTGGAGGTTATCTTATGACAATGTCCGTTCCTACTATATATGTGATGATGCAATTCTGCACATCACTGCACATTACATCCAAGGTCGGCTGTATGTGAATACACTGGGTTCTCGCTGTGTTCCACAGGGCAGTGATCAACATCAACAAAGAATAACGACAAATGCTTTTCAAAATATTTGTTTAGTTGGGAAGTAGTGAAAGAATAAGATTAATTGGCAATGTCTTCTTTCTGCTTTGAGAAAGCAAACTTCTGGTATCTCACTAGCTTTCAGATACAGAAAAAGGACTCCTACACACTCGCTGCCTGACTGTTTTACTAACTGCTGACAATTCCATAGTGACTGCTGGTCCTTTTACTGACCAATCATTATATGGATACTGGCTGGGGGATGTGCTGCCCCTTTTTGTCTACTTGTGTTCTACCAACCGGAAAGGGGGACCACCCAGACAGCTTTTAGGTGGTCAATTCTTTCAAATGACTTTACTTTTATGGCTATCTAAAATTACTAACAAAACTTAGCAATTCAAAGGTAGGATGGAAACAGGATTCCTGAAACTTCCTGGTCATTAAGTTTTCTCAAAGATGATCTGGAGACAAGATTCTTAAGAAACTGTGGTCATTAGATTCTTTATCCTTTTTAGTCAATTTATCTATTAATCTCCTAAGGATGTGCAAGAAATTGTATATCTACATATATATCTATATCTATATGGGCTTGTGTAAGGATTGGAAAAAAAAATGCACATTAGGTTGTTAAGATAAGCAAAATGAACTTTTATATAATGCAATAAATATATATATATATATATATATATATATATATATATATATATATATATATATATATTATATTATATATATATATATATATATATATATATATATATATATATATATATATATATATATATATATATATATATATATATATATATATATATATATTATATTATATATATATATATATATATATATATATATATATATATATATATATATATATATATATATATATATATATATATATTATATATATATATATTATATATATATATATATATATATTATATATATATATATATATATATATATTATATATATATATATATATATATATATATATATATATATATATATATATATATATATATATATAATATTTATAAAATATAAGAGAGTTGTCGGGACCGGAGAAAAGTCTCTTATATCCGGGTTTCTCTTATATCCAGGTTTGGTCTATTTTATATACATTAACACAGGCTCTAATTTGGGACCAGAGAAAATCTCTCTTATATCCGGGTTACACTATATATATATATATATATATATATATATATATATATATATATATGAGCATTTAATCAAACTTTGTACTCAGTAGCCATTATTTTTGTTAATCCTTACAAAACAAGAAAGCACTCATCCCAATATAATATTAATAATCATTAATTACTTAGTTATGCAGTTTTTGTGTGTGTGTGCTGATTTCTGCCATGCAACAATGAGAAATTCACTTAGGATATAAACATTTGTAAAATATATTAAGTTTGATTCTCTTTTATGAGGTCAGCTTGTTATTTGTCTGAAATAACTATCACGTGAATTATGAGGTTTGTTTCTGACATTTTCAAAATGGCCATCAAGTCAATAATGACAAATAGTGATAGAAATTATTTCATTCCAGTTGCTTTTGCTTTTAAATTTAATCATCTATAAATGTTGATATTTCCAACAAAGAAAATCAGTTCACTGTGTCGTGTGAGACAATTTTTCTCTCTGGCATCTATCTTAGAAATCTATAAGTCCATTCCTAGAATATTGCTGCCACATTTGGTTCAGTCCTACTGCTATATACCTTGAACTCCTTGATGAGATCCAAAGAAGAATCAGCAATATTATTGGTTCTGATCTGGTAGCTCAACTTCAGTCACTTACCCACTGCCATAAGGTTGCCTCTCTGTGCCTTTTTTTATAAATACTTTCATGGTAATTGTTTGGATGGTACCTAGACTTTATGAATTGAAGTCCAGTACTAGACTGGCATTGAGGTCTCACTAATTTACAGTCGAGATGGTTTAAATGCAGCTATAAACAGTTTCTTTACTCACTTTGGAACTTCCTTCTGGCTCAATGCTTTCCAGCCAACTGCAAAAATTTAAATGCAATGTCAATTGCTATCTACTGTCCTCCTGATTACTCTTTTCTCTCATTATTAATGTTTCTATTCCTAATTCTTCCATAACCAGTAACCCCTTGTGTTTTAGTGGCTTTACTGCCTTACTTGGGGTGATACTGATCTAAAAAAAAAATAGCTTAGCCAATACAAATCTTTACAAAAATTTATAACAAAACCAAGTTCACAAGCAGTCGTCTTTGTTTTATTTAGCAGAAGGTATCCTTTTGAATGTTTTATTACATGTAAATAAACAAATTATGAAATGTGATGGTTTTCTTCATTATCTTTTTTATATATTTTTTTCCAGTTCAACATGTTAGATCTAGAACCAGCCTTTAAAGAGCCAGTCGTGGTAAGACAAATTACATTTTTGTTCCATCTCACTGTTGCCTTCTTCCAAAATATAACCCAAACATAATCAATTTTTTAAATGATGCAAACTTCCATAAAAACAATGGTTGTATTTAAAATTCATTGAACATTATTTTGAAGTATTTTAGTTTTATTTAATCAAATTTTTATTGTATATATAAAACAGGGTGGCAAGTGGCATATGTGGATGAATTCAATTTTTAAAATGGTGGTGAATTTTGCCACGATCTTGCATTTTAAAGTTTCAAAATCAGGATTTTTTTGGTATATGTGTGTGCAAGCAATTTTAACCAAGACTAGAGTTGCTGGTTTTTGTGCAAGAACTAATTGCAGAAAATTAAATATTTTACGTTTGGGTCTAATAAATGAAAAGCATTTCAATGTGACTAAGCTAGTAGAATTCTTGAATACAGTATAAAATATTAATTCTTTTTGAAAAGTGAAAAGAAAGGAAAAAAGAAAAGTAAAATAATTTTTACATAAAGGCCTATAAAAAAAGTAAAAGCGCTTTTAATACACTGTTGCATTTCTGAATCAGTTTAAGGTGACAGATAATTCCCACCCCTGATCCTATGGAAGATGTCTCTTTTATCCTTTTTTTTTTTTATAAATCATTTCACCATAAGCAAGATGATAATGCCACTAAGACACCAGGTGTTACTGAGAATTAAAGAGAATGAGAAGACTTTGGTGAGAAGAAAAGAAGAATAAAAGAAGAGGATTCAGGAAGACAGAAGATGATGATTGATGTTGCATTTAAGCTTTTGAAGAACATAGGTGACAGGGAAAAAAGAAAATGGTATAAAATTCCAAAGGCACAAACTGCAAAAATATATTATAATAGAACACACATGGTTAAGTCTAGCTAGTTTAACAGTAAAACGATAAGGCGTAGTTATCGGTCTAGTCTTTTTCTTTTTCATGTGCTGTGTCCCTTCAGGACATAGGTAATCATGGCTCTCCACTTCCCTCTATCCCTTGTAGCTCTCAATAAGTTTCATCCCTCTGCTGCCTCCCCCAGACCATGTTCTGTTATCCACTTGCTTAATCCTGCCAGTTCTATGCTAAATTTCTTTTCTCATACTTCTCTCTTGTAGAACTCCTTTCTGGCCCTGTACTTTCCCGTCAACTTTAATCTTCAAAAGTTTAAATGCAACATCATTTTGCCCTCTTGATTACTCTTCTTTTGTACTTGCTCCTTAGTAATTTTTCTATTTTCTTTTAATTCCACACCTAGTAACCCCTTGTGTCTTGGTGGCTTTACTATCTTGCTTGGGGTGAATATGCTTAAAGAAAGAATCTCCTGAAAACTCATATTCCCATTCTGTATTAGTCAAAATAGTTTTATATATCTGCAATTCATAGAAATTATGATTCATAATAATATTAAGTTTTGAATATCTGTCAAAGAGAGGTATCCAAAGGTAACTTTGTACCTCTCTAATGAAATTCTTGAATTTTGTTTCTAAATTAGGAATTTTATTTTTATTTAGCACCAGTGCAAATGGATCTAAAATATGAAATCAAAAAACATTTTTTAATTCCTTGTTAGATGACTGCCATCTTTACTGAAAACCTAGTGTGGATTGAACTCCTATTATTCACTTTGAATCTTGTGATAACTCATAAACATATTATCTGCACTTGTCTGCTAATATACAAAAAGACTTAAGTTTTGACCTTGAAAAATATTTTTTAAATTGATTGAATTTTTAGTCACATTCTCAAAAGAAACTCACCATATTTTGATTTTAAAAAAGTATAAAATCTGTAAAATTTTATATTAATTTGATTTTAACATGTTTAATTAACTCTTTAACATGTTTAACTAACTCTTTAACATGTTTAATTAACTCTTTAACATGTTTAATTAACTCTTTAACATGTTTAACTAACTCTTTAACATGTTTAATTAACTATTTAATGTTTAGTTAACTTTTTTAACATGTTTAGTTATTAACCAAAATGTTATTTTTTTTTCCTTTTTCTCCATTGACACAGTCTCCATCCAGCCCAACATCTATAGAGAATCCATTATATGAAGAAACAACAAATAATCATTAACATCCAGAAGTGAAGACTGAAAAACCATCTACATTTTCATTGCCAATCATTTTCCTGTAAACCACATTTTATCATGCATACAAAACAGACTGAAACATTAAAAAAAAAAGGTAAAAATAGGAATAACAACAGTAACAAGTAATTTTACTTTCTTAAAAAAAATTATATGTAAAGTTTTGGTGAGTTTTTGCTATTGCATTGATATATTATTACATTTATTCAGTTTGAAAATAATACTTAAATATAGAGAAATTGAATTGAAAAAAGACTTTGCATGAAATAAAAAACCATTTAATATGCAGTAAAAACACAGTCAAAATGGTTGTTCTGTTTACTTATTTGCTTGTTTGCAACATAATATTACACTTTTCTCTCTCTCTCTCTCTCTCTCTCTCCATTTTAAACTTACATTATGAAACTGTATATTCATAAAATGTATATAAAATCCAATTTAAAACTTTCAGATAGCTAAATTTTCATGTGTAAGTTCAATTTCACAAATATTTTGAAAAGTAGAGATAGATATTTTCTTTGTAGGCTTACATATAATGTGTGTGCATGCATGTGTGTGTATATATATATATATATATATATAAGCCGAAAGCTTAGATTGGATTAAAAAATATGGATCAATATTGTGATTTTCTTTCTTCGTTTAATGATAATGTTATTAAGCTTATCAGGCGTTAGGAAAAGAATTTACATAAAATAAATAGACAACACTTTATATTATTTAATGAAACATGTATGAATGAAAAAAAATACACAATATATATATATATATATATATATATATATATATATATATATATATATATATATATATATATATGATGTGGATAAATCAAATAACTAGATATTAGCAACTGTATATATGTGTATACACAGATAGTAAAATAAATATTTACTCAATTTAATATAAGGTGTGAACAAAACAGTGCTCAATGTAGTTAGAAAGAGTTAAGAAGTATTATATTAATAAATATACATATACCTATGTTCGAAGTGCAGCTTAGTTTTGTTGTTCTAACATCTCATCAGGCACAAATTTTATATATATATATAAACCAAATGTATTATGTATTAACTCACCCACAACACTAAGTTTCATGGTAGTTGCAATCTTCACACTGTTTGGTGATCTATATTGTATTATATTAATGCTCTGTTAAGTGACATTGAGTACTTGGTTTATTTTATAATTTGAAGCTTTTAGCTGATTATTTTTTACTTTCTATAAGTATGTGCATTTTATATATATATATATATATATATATATATATATATATATATATATATATATATATATATATAATCAACAAGTCATTCTTCTCCCGAGTTTCATAGATGAACCTTAGTGTAATTGTTTGGTGCACTCATAAGGGATATTAGCAAATGCCTGTTGACTTTACTCATTTTTGTTATTTTTATATGAAGTTAAAATATAATTTATGCACTTTTTTATTGATGTTTGATATATATTGTATGCAAATGATTTTTAAAAAAGAATTTTCTTTTTGTGAAGGGGGAAAGAATAAAACCTGACATAACAGGAAATAATTTTTTTTTTTTTTTAAATTTTATGTATGTATTTATGAATAACTAAAAATCAGATGAGTTGATTTGTCTGGATATGCAGCTGTGAATGACTTGAAAGATGAAATCAGGAATTGAATCTCTTTTCTTTACTTGCTTTTAAATGTGTATCTTGTATGTATGTATGTATTGCTGATATGCCCTGTCGAGTGAACAGTGATTGCTGGAGGATCCATCTACGAAACTCTACAGTTGTGATGCTGGAAGTAACACCAATCCACTAAGTAACAAATTATATATATATATATATATATATATATATATATATATGTATGTATATTGTATTGTTGCAGAGATGAAGAATGAGTAACCTGGAAGGCAGAATTTGTCACTGTTGTTACTGCTAAAGAGGCTAATTTATTCTTCGCCTCAGCAAACCTAAGTTCAAGGAAAAGGAATACATTGTATTTTGGGTAAATAAATGTATAATTTATTTACATATATGCAAAAGTCAGCATACTACCTGTTGTTGTCGTAAAAGGCAACAGTGGGGAAGGAAGAAAGAAAGAGAATGTTGGTCATGGCTCTTGGCTGATGTTTTGTGAAGACGTTGGCGGTAAAGGATGAAAGTTGAAAAGTATTGCATTCAGTCTGCCTGTGGCGTTCTTGACAAGCTTCTGCATGTCGACATAGCTGGGCATCTCTCTCTCTCTCTTTTGTATCCCTTTGTGGCATTGAATCCAGGAATTTATATTCTCTCCAAATCAGAGTCTGGGTCTTTTGGCGGGAGTTATTTCTACTGGCCAATATGTAAAGTTCAATTTTTCATTTAATACCGAAAACATGCATTAAGCCATGATGCGCAGAGATGCATTTTCACATTCTACCTTGGGTCGTTGAGCGGTCAACATCCAGTTTAATGTAAGAGACACAACAAAAATATATATATATATATATATATATATATATATATATATATATCTGAAGAACAATATTGGGAAAAAATGTATGACAAAGTGGAACAAGTTTTCTTGTGATGTGTTTTGTCCTTTAGGATGTCATCAGACTAAATTTGTTATATATAAAATTCTCAGCTTTCCTCGTTCATGCATATGTGAAATTGCACCAACGTAATGAATTAATATAGGTTACATCCTTTAGGACTTCATCTATCACAAAAAGATTTTTCCACTTTGTCTTACATTTTCCCAATATATATATATATATATATATATATATAGTGGATACACATGTTTGAGTAGCTATCCCTGTATATTTTCTAAAATAAAGTTTTTTTTACTGATGAAAAAAGGATGCAGGTTTGATTCCTTTTAGGGACACAATTTTTCTTTAGTAAGACTTAGGCCAGATGTTATTAAT